ATAGCCGCTGTGTAGCACAGCTTTGGAAGCATGATGTTACGGAGTTTGGTTCTCACGGTGTCCAGTCAGCATGTATTGCATGTTATGTTAGGTTAGTGTAGACGTTCGAGTTGTTGTGGGGATGGAGTCATATTGAGATTTGAAAACAAAAGTCGTTATCATTCAAACATACTTACGACCGTCCAAGTTGTCTCGGGTAGGTGACCGCGACTCTGATTTGTGTTCTGTCTCAAAGGAAATTCCTTCGCCGCATTTTAGAATGTCTTGGCCACAGAAACTGCTGGACGTTGTACTAATACATCGATGTTGAAGTTCCCCTTCAACGGGCGGGACACACCAAAATATCTTGGCTATACGTCATTGAACAGTTCAGTGGGGGTAACTACTCCTGTTCGCGCCGCGGCCGCGCGTATACATACTGCAGTGTACTATACGTACATAGCAAAGTGTACAAACGTGCTTGTCTGGCACGATAATCCTGTACCACAACGTAGCGCAGTGGTGCACTGTAGAACTTGCTAGTCAGCACAAAGGACATTAGGTCCATGTGCCCGCCTGAAGTTATTTGGAAATGAAATGGGTCAGGCCAACGGTCAGCCTATTACATACGATCCGAAGCTGATATCGTCGGCGCGGTTGTCTCTGGCCTGACGACGGGACGGAACGGGATGTTCGGATAACGAATATCGCACCGCTGCGAAATCGTAAGAGTGCTCGTAAGAGATATCGTATGTCCCTATTGAGGTGCTATTCGTTTGTCTGAACCTCGCGGTACAAATCTACACATCGCCCTTGGGCGATAGAAGGAAGCCTGGCTCCCTGGGTGGGGTCTGGCGGGTCTGGCGGGTCAATTTTCGTGCGAAACGCGGCCGAGGGTAGAGCAATCGAGTCCTGACACAGTTGGTTATGAGCGAGCTATAGGTGGTGACTAAGGTAGCTCGTCCCTGACAAAAAAAAAGTGGCACTTTTATGGTCAGTACATGGGCGATGAGCGCAACAAAAGGTGCCACCTTTTTTGTTAGGGATGAGGGTAGGTAGCGTAGGTTCCATGTCTTGGAAGCTGGTGTGTGTACCTACCTACTGTACCTAGTTTAGGAGCCGTTTGGTAAGATAGGTAGGTACATTGGTCCGCTAGCTAGGTAGCCAGCCGACTTAGGTAGACTAGGTAGGTAGGTTGTTGTGTATTCGAAGTTGGCGAATTGACTAGCCAGACCGACCCTAAGTAAGCAAAACCTGGGAGGCGCTATAGGGCGCTTGTAAATGGGCCAGTTCGAATCATTTGAACTTTTTTCCTAGTGTAAGGTACCTACAAAGCTTTTGGAGCGAGTGGCGGTGTTTGTGGTTTTGTTTCGTGGACATGTTGACGTGATTGTAGGCGGCGGGAACTGGTAGTGGTGGTGCAGGTGGTAGAGAGGTATGTGGGACGAACTGTGGATCCTTTCCACTTCTTGCCATGTAATATTTCCGGGCACCCCCCAAGGGCCAGTGCCCCCCTGGGGAGGAGGGGAGGAAGCTCGAAGGCGCCAAAGGATAGACAGCAAGGAACTCCCGTCGCTTAGCACAGTCGTTACCAGTTTATTTAGGTTTCCGTTTGCACGCCATTCAATCACTGTACAATTTCTTGTTACGGAGCGAGCAAGTATGGAAAATCTAGTGTAAATGTGTGCTGTCTTCTATTATTGACTAGGTACCAGTGTAGGGTATAAAATGTTGGGGGAATCTTTTTAAAACAAAACGAAGAAAAAAAACAGAGAAATCTACATCAACTCCCATGGCTCGTCCGACATCAAGTATCCCGTAAACAACTGAAACGCATTACCACAAGTGACAAAAACATAAACCCATAAGATCATGCATGCTTCTTCTTCTTCTTCTTCTTCTTCTTCTTCTTCTCCTCTTTCTTCTTCAACGCCCAACAAAGTTTTGACTCCTCGCAATAAACGCCGGAAAACAAGGGGGATATCTGATCGTGGATGACGCCGTGGATGTTGAGGGTGATGGTTGTGTATGTGTACCTCTATGTACCTCTATGATTGTGTGTAGTAAAACAACCCCCGATTTTTGAATTGGAGAGGATTCACTTTTGTGATGGGATTTGGCGACTTGATTGTAGAGAAGAAAGGGGGGATTCTCCTCCTTTTTTTCTCTTTCTTTTCTCCATCTCTCTGCGTTCGTATTGCGCAATTGCTACCTCAGGTAGCGAAGCGAGTGCTTCGGATCAATCCCTCATAAAGACCGATCCATTTGTGGAAAGAACGATTGAACCGTTGCTTAGTAGGTAGACAGACCGCTTAAGGGTTGCTAACATAAGACCTCGCCCTCTCCAACGCCAACGAATCATGAACAAGCGGCGCATTCGGATCGACAACGTCTTTCTGGTTCTCAAGATCCGAGGTTTGCGAGCCATCCACGTCATCGCCACCATAAGCGTACTTGGATCTCTGACGGATGCGAGCACCAAACTTCCAGAAACCAAAGGGGATTAGACAGCACAGCAAACCCAAAAAGGCCAAGAAGGTCGAGGCCCACTGGTCGCCCATGCGGTGGTACATTTGCTCCGTGAACAAGACGGTGCCGGCACCCCAGAAGGAACGAATAAAGGTCTTGGCGGCAAGCGCCGAGGCAGCCTGGTGCTGGTACGAGTCGACGAGGTAGTTGTTGGCCGAGTTGTAGAGGAAGATAAAACCAAAGCCAATGGGGAAGCCGGCGAGGCAGGGGCCGACCCAGATCAGGCGCGGGTACGAGGTCCAGGCGAAGATGAAGAGGCCGATGGGGATGAACCAGCACGAAACCATCATGGGGATCAGACGAATCTCGGCGGGGGGCTTGCCATTGTATTTCTGGACTTGCGTGAGGTAGTGCTTGTTAACTAAGGGGGCGCAAAGGGCAGAGCAGATGACGCCGACGGCGAGCGGGATGAACATGAGGCCCGTTTGGCCGTGTGAGTAGCCCTTGCCTCCCTCGAAGACGACGGGGTAGGCGACGAAGAACATGTACAGCAGGCCGTAGAGGACCGACATGTAGAGCGAGATGAGCAGCACAATGAGCTCGCGGAACAAGAGCTGGAAGGGCCGGATCAGGAAGACGCTCATGCGCTCCGAGAAGGGACGCTGGTCCAGATCGCCCTCGGACACGTATGAGTTGTCACCCGTCTGCTTGCGGAGTTTCGCGGCCCGGCGACCGAGGATAGTGGGGGCGTAGGTTTCCTTGACGGTGAAGGAAATGAGGACCCAGACGACGAAGGCCAGGATGAGTTGGATCCAGTAGAGCCAGCGCCAGCCAGCGAGACAGAGCCAACCACCGACGAGAGGACCAACTGAGGATTACCAAGTCAGTATGTGCTAGAGATCGGTATTCTAGGACAGTGGATAAAAGGGATCCATGGTACGGAAACTTACTAGCAGGACCAATGAAAGGAGCAGCAGAGAAGGCAGCCATGGGGACACCACGCTCCTCATTCCTCCACAAATCGGCAAGAGTACCACCGACCAGGGTCATGGGCGCGGAAAAGGCAATACCATCGATCAAGCGACAGACAATGAGTGTACCGATATTCTTGGAAACGGCGCAAGGAATGATAAAGACGACGGCTAGGAGAAGTGTTGTGCCATAGATGATCTGTCTTCCATAGACTTCGGAAAGCGGAGCGAAAACCATCGGACCTGTGTCATAGCATGTTAGATCTCGGAGGATAACCCAGATGGTTCCATGTCATCTTCTTCTTCCCAAATGGAGAAACTTACCAACACCGAAACCAACGACGAAAACGGTAATAGGGAGGAGAGCAGCCTCGTGGCTGATGCCGAACTCATGAGCTACACTGTCGACATCGGCAGTGATGACGGAGGAACAAAAGGCGACGACGAAACAGGTGATGGCGACCACCATGGTACAGTACCACTTGTACCCTTTCGACCAGTTCTTTGGGTTTCCAGGGTCTCCTTCCGCAAATGTGACGAGCTTGTAGTCCTGTTGTGTCTCTCCTCCTTCGGGGACCTTTTCCTTGGGCGGTTGTGGCGCCCCAGCCGCCGTGGGCGCTGCTTGTGTTGTCGCCATGGCGATGTCTTGTGGTGTTGGTGCTACTAAAACAAAAGCTTGTTGTTGAATGAAAGAGGGCTAGACTGTTGTCGACAACGGTCGTATTATTGGTGATTAAGATATTCGGCTCGGCTCAGGGGTAAATCGATCGATCCGGTTGGTGGTTTACCATGCAACGGGGTGTAAACACTGGAATATCTAAGAGAGACTGAAAGAGAAAATGAATGATGACCCCCACTGGATGGTCAATCTGTGTTGATTATCTGTTATAGAGTAGCGAGGACCACTTTCGTCCGGGGAAGGGCCCGTCCGTAATATTATATGTTTTCCATCTCCATAGATACTCTTATCGTCTGTCGCGTACGGTCCTCGCCCTTGGTTCGGGCTTACTCGGGAATCTGCATGATGTGGAATCTCACTATCACCCTTGCGTAGATCATAAACAAAAGAGCCTCGTGCTCTCGCCGTCGTGGTTATACGGTACGTACTGTCTGCTGCGTAGGGGTAGGTGTAGGTACTTTTGTATTGTACCATCACGGACTCGCTTCTTACAGCGAGCATGTCTCGCGGTACGTCGTTGACGCCCTACGGCGTGACCCAGAACCAACCAATGAAAGTGCCCAATGGGCTGAGATAGGTGCTGTCGCCCTTGCGGCGGACAGTCCTTCCTGATGGTTATCGCCATGTCCCTGGTGGCGACGGTGGGCCCCTTGAAACAAAGACTTTGGGAACGGTCATCCCAATCGAGTCAAAATCGTCATACAGCCAGCTGCCAGAATCATGAGGATTGCCAAGAAGAGATTGCTGGTGTCGAACTCTTGTGCAGGTCATTCCACGTTTGCTGGAACCGGCCGAGTTCGGCCCCAGTTTTACAGGCGGGAAAGGAAGTGATTGGCCGGAAGGCTCGGCATCGCGAAGTTCTCATAGACGCGACGAACTCGTTCGCCCCTTTGAACCCTCGACCTGTTTTAATACTCCAGTGTCCCTGCCATGGCCAGAACTGGCGATGAATGCCAATTGTACGTATCCTGATTGATACCCAACTGAACAGAGGAAGTAGGTACTCGGTTGGGATCCGTAATGCTTTTATCACTTGATTCAGCATCATCGGATCGTCGGATTTTCGAGCTCATCATCCTCTCAGTCCACTGTTGATATAAGGAACTTGCCTCTCGAATAGTGGCATCCCCGAGGAAGTGGACGCTTGACCGCGAGAGGGAGCACTTTCTGGCCAAACCTCAAGGCCCACTAGGTCATTGCTCCCATGATACAGTGAGAGGTGAAATCGGTGAAAGAGGTTTCAGGGGAGGTGATGAGGACGGTAAAGCAGCGTTCTATCGCGCCTCTTAGCGGCTGCTTCAGATGTATACAGTTCCATCCGGACTGTAAACCCGCCAATAGCTTCGGCGTTCGCAACAAATGACTTCGGAGTTGGCCCCTCCATCAACTCCATGTTTGCGCGTCTAATTTGGCTGGTGCTCAGTCTCAACCGCTGGGATTATGCCTACACACTCAAAGGCTTGTCGACGTTGTTGATTGATTCCTTGGCCTTCTGTTTTTGTTTTTGGATGGCCGGCATGGTCGGAACTTGCCTTGCGCCATCTGGCCATGTTAAGAAGCCCCATCCGGGAGACGGAGGAACGACTGACGAGTCCCGGGTGAGCCGCTTTGGCCCGCTTGGCATAAGGCCGCTCTGCCCTGTGACCTCACCCCTGCGGCCCTGTCACCGTTCCGCTTGTCGAATCCGGGCCCGACCCTCCGATCCACTCGACCCGAAGAGCGACCAAGACCGGATTGCGGCTCCGGACGACGAATGCTAACGAGGATTTGCAGCGGGAAGCGTTTCGGTAAGAATCCGTACTGTGTCATAGGGCTGTGTACATAATACCTACATGACGACGGATTGGCCTGCTGCTGTGTTATTGATTGCGGCCGCTTGGTAGGTAAAGGAGAGTGTAGCTCGATGATACTCTGCTGTTCAGCGAGATGCTGCTGCTCTGTGAATTCGCACCCCTGAACTCACGATTTTCATGGCTCATTATGCTGAATAGATGGGGAGTAGGAATACCGCTGACACACACCACCAACGGCGAAACATCTAGTGGGATACATGCAGTTGCAGTGCTTTTTGTTGCAGTCTTTTTGTTTGATCGAATCTAGCTCTCTGTGAGCCTTTGTGTCAAGCCGTGAATCTTTTGGGTCGTATAGTCGCAACGGTTCAGTGGATTGAAGACCTTGCCTATGACAATCCAAATGTGCGCCGTGATCGATAGAGCGAGGTCGACGACGAGTCATTACGTAAGGCCCCGGTGGGGTGAGCCGGGGTCCCTGCATTTTCCAAAATTTGGAAACAAAAAAAAAAAAAAAACTCCGACTTCGCGACAGCGAGTGGGTCTGAGCTAGTGCCGAGCAAACTGCGTTTAGACTTCAGAGGTACGTACACTATATACATAGTGCGGTACGTATGGCATGTGTTTCCGCTCACGTGATTCGGCCAATGACTTGCACCCCGTCTGGCACTGGCTGCGGGTTCCCTAGCACTGGAGTTCATGATCTTTTCCCAGTGTCCAAGCCGAAACTCGAATCTCGCAAGACGTCCACAGGGCAACAACTACGACAGATTACTATCAGATGAAACCAGATCTTACACACTTTCGGAATGTACGTTGAAGACCCAACGACACTACATTCCGATGTACCCGATTTTCCGTAACACGAGCACGGCGGTGAACACCTTCGCAATTGCGCTGCGGCCCTTTTCTCTTGCTTCTCTCCGACGCGACCAAGCGAACCAGCAACATCCATCGAGATCATTCAATAAAGTTGTTTTCACGGCCCACTGACATTCCACTTTGACTTCAACCCCTTGGCTGCTCGTTTCGGAACAGTCTCGTTCGATCGGCTGGCCGCTGGTTTGTCCTCGACCGACTTTGCGCGAATACTCGACCCACGCGACTGGATAGACCCTGTCACTTCAACGGTGTCACTTCGTTGGCAGCTCGGCTTGGGCTTGAGTTTTGGTTGTCCTCGGGCCGCCGCGCCCACGGGTAGACACAACTAATTGATAGCGAACTTGGCACTTCACGAGCGCCAAGCTCGCTGTCGCTCACAACAGTTTGTTGGAGGTTCTTTCTCGCTTCGGTACGTGCCTCCACAGTTCAGCCTCCCAGTCTGTGTCTCTACTTAGCAAGGAAGCTCCCAGAAAATGCCTCCTCTCGCTTTCTTTGAGTTTAGGGTCCAAGGGGTTATGAAAAGAACAATATAGCAAAGTTGCTGGATAATTGACGGCGCTGCTCCGTGGCAAATGGTTCTCTGACACTCAGTATCAACGCTGTGTACTTTTCATGAGCTGGAGCTGTAGTCATCATCAGTGCCTCACTGAACCCAACACTACGACACTAGGTACCTAAAGACGGGCACTCAGTATCAGCTCACAAGATTCGCAACCTGAAACCAGCTGAACGAGCTGGACAGTCATGGCTCCAGATAACCTCACTGTGCAGCAAAGTCATTTTCGTATTGCCATGACTCCATGTCTGCCATGCTCGACGACTTCCATACACAGTGTTATTTGCTGTGGATCTTCACGATGAGAGGGATCACCTAAGGCCCTAAAACAAAAAATGTGGACCTTCGGAAGAACGAATCGAAAATCCACCTCGCATGCAGGTTCCGTGGGTTGCGGCTCTGCGAAACAACATGGGTTCTGAAAACTCGATTGGGTGCAGGATCCGTTCCTTATCGATATGTAAGTCCCTTCGAGGCAAACCAACACCAGAAGTCACACATTGTCAAAGTTGGCGGAGGTTATAGTGTGAGCCCCGGATTGGCACCAACATCAACACCAAGGATCTCGCTCGCCATGAGATCGCGATTGTACAGGACGAGCTTCAAATGCTCAAGTGCTTTGAGGGGACACGGAAAGTGTGAACATCAAGCCTAAGTCTAAAATTACCTCCAGGTTTGATTTAGCACACGCTATATCATGATAGACAACACATCGCCCAGTTGTTGGAGGTCTTTGGGAGTCCATTTTGGAAGATCCTCCCATCACCAAGGAGATAAGCTCCTGCATTCATCTTGCAACATCTCTTATTTCCGGCTCCAAGATAACCTTACCTCTACCCCAACGTGGATTAACAAGCACAGGACGATGGATCCCCCACGCGTTTAAACTGACCGGATGTGACGGGACGATCCGGCACAGTTAGTTGCGGTACTAGCAGGTCTTATGAAAATTTTTCGCGGTGGACTTTCCTCCACGATTCGGCTTTTACCATAGAAATTTCGCGGGCCGTACCCAAAACCAATGGACCTCGTAAGGGTTGCTACAAAACAGTGACATTGAATTGTTCGAAGGAATGCGGAGCTCGTGGCTGACTACATATATCTACAAGTAGAAGGAGAGTGACTGTGGTGAGTGATAGCTAGGTATTATATCTTGGCGAAATTCGATGTCATGAGCTAATCATCCACATTGGACATCAGGTTCCAGGGTTTACTGTACTACCATAGCTATAACTACCTTCCTCTCTATTGATCTAATCTTTTTTCCCTTCGCACCACCATACCTATTCATCGAAATTTAAATCACATGGGTTGCACCATATCACGCTTCAAGATGCCTGCATAGGTATAGGATCAAAACCTCCCTCTTTCAAAACGACTAGGACCGCGAATACCCACAGAGGTCAGCAGTCTACAAGGAAGTCTTTGAAGCTGTGTGCATGCATTGTAATGTATCTAGAACCTCCAGTGGTTACAATGTGTAGGCTGGTGAGCAGGATATATTGGTCAACTAGGTACGCTATAGTGGTTTTTTCCTAGGTGTTCTATCTCACACCGGTTACCCCTTATTTGAACACTCGATTAGTGTGATGTTATACCGAGGGAGAGAATCCCGACGGTGTATAATATCGTACAGTATTCCTCTTCAGGCCTGACCAAGACTAGGGAATTTACGCAGTATTACTCTACCTAGTTTCTGTCTGCGTAGGACCTCCGATCCAAGCCATGCCACAAACTATTAATCAAAAGTCCAGGGCAGGTCTGATCCAGTTCACTTTTGCCTTTGATCCCAGGTTACCTACAGTTATGGTCTTGCTTCGCCATAGATTTGCGACCTCCAGTCAGGTTGAAAATAGATATCACAATAAGCGTAGATCTCAGTCTTGTCATATTAGGATCCTCTGTCAAAGTTATGGATAATACGGTGTCAACAATGAAGTTGTCAGACGTTCGAATGGCGGTGCACCAATACTTCAACTTTGGTCCTTCTTTGGTATTAGCAAGCCTCATATAAATGCGGGAAATCAAGTGAAATATGGACACTAGCAAGTCTCTTCACAACGAGCATCATACCTGAGGGCAGCATATAGTAGAGTCCGGTACCGGTTTTAGAGCTTGTTTGTTTGATACCCTGGACGGGGCCTATGCTAGCCCGTCCTAGCGCCACAAGGACATCGTCAAGAAGCCGAAGAGATCACATCAGTTCGTATGTTTCAAATTCGACACATTCGCGCCAAGGTTTGGCCATTGTCATTAATCGACAGACATTGAAATAAGGTGAAATCGGAACCGCCCTAGCACACAGCCCAGACGTTTCAAGCTAGGTAACCAACTTCCTAAGGCTGTATCGTGTTCAGCTTTAGCTTTCTTCATCAAAGCCTTCTGGTAGTTCCTATCTTCACTGTATGTACTTCACAAGTTTACTGGTGGCATTCTCATATTAGGATGATCTGGCTGCGCGAGGAGGATGTGATCGTCGTTTCTTGTATGACGAAGTGGTTGGTAATACAGGTTGACAGAGGTCGCTTGGCCCACTGGCATTGTTAATGGACTCTTTCGGTTTTCAGAGAATCACTGCCGTGCAACAGTCTGAGCCGGTGATGAAGGCCATTTGTTTTCCGGGCGGCAGGCAGCGTAGTAGGGCTACCGTGCCCTTGAGATATTTGCGATTCAAGTGTCCCACGAGCCCACGTGGAAAGTCTGCTGTTGGTCGTCTCAGTGGGTCTATCTTTGAGTCAACTAATGGGTCTCCCGTCTCGAAATGGGCTTCCCCGTATCCACTCGTCCCGTGCCTGCTTCCGGTTGTTGTGTCAACATTTAGCGGCAGGCATGCTCGTCAGGACTAGAATCGTCTTCTTCCCCTTGGCGCGGTCGAGAGTCTGAGGTGTTTCTAGCCTAGACAAGTACCATTCAGGTCCACTTGAGGTACAGTGAAGTAACTGGATACTGGTGATTGATCACCAAAAGCACTTCCTCGGAGGTCAAGCAGCTTCCAGAAGTTCTTTGCTGTGACGGGACTGGACTGAATGATGACGTCGATACCTAGGCAGAAGTGAAGTTTGAGAAGGAGTCACAGCCTCTGACCTGCCCTGGATTGCCGGCCCAGAGATTCGCAGGGACCCTTTCACGAGGGCCGCCGTCTCTAGGGGTTCTACGGCGGTTCAAGAAGTGCGGGGAACACTATTGTGAGGCTAAGAAAGTGATCAGCAACTCTAATTTGTGGATACCCCTGACAATGAACAGCCAATGAGATTTCCTCTTGTGCGACATTACGGACAGTCCGCGTCAAGGTAATTCCAAAATTTCCATTCACCTGCCTTAGCAGGGACCGTGCCAAATGCCTGCCGTTGCCCGCGCATTTTGTTAGCTGCGCTGAGGTATTGTGCTGGTGACCGTCCCGTGCGTGACGTGCAATTTCTTTCCACCGCGCAACAACTGAGGTGTTTGGACAAGTCAAGTCCTTGGGGTTGCAAACCTCGAACCACCCTCTACCAATTCTTTTTTTTCCGGCCGCCCAGCCTCAGCATCCAGTCTCGCCATTTTCCGACCTCACAGACAGACAAGCGACCATGCCGAGGCCTATTGAGGCGGACGTGCACAGCGCGTTCATGGAATTCCGCAACGCAGGTATTTTCACCCTCCCCGTTACGCCATCCTTACCGCCCGCCATCCTTACCGCGATCGTTACCAATCGCGCGTTGTTACATCTTACATTTGATACTATCGGTGACAGTACCATACACCACCTGTCGCCGATGAATGATGATCAAGGCTGACTCGTCTCTGGATGGCTCCACCAAGCAGACGAAAAGTGCATGTCAGTTCAGTGCCTCTTCTGTCACCAAGTCCGCGCAAAGAACACCACCAGGCAGAAGCAGCATCTGGCTCAATGCACCCAGTACCTCGCCCAGCACCCCGAGGCCGCTGCTGCCATCAAGTCCTCTCTGGAGCAGCATGCGCAGAGTCATGATGGCTCCACTGCCCACGTCTCGGGCGGCCACGGCGGCGGCGTCGTCTCTCATGGTCCTGGCAGTCACGGTCACGGTCATGGTCACGGCCACGGTCATGGCCACGGTCCCGGCCAGGACACCGGCGGTAACAACGCCAACTTGACAGCCGGTGGCCAAATGCAGAACCAGCATCCGGCCGCTACTACTGCCGGCGCGTCCAGTGTCTATCCCGAGCCCACGTCCCTGGACCCTCACCAGCACACAAACCTGGGCTTCACCCCCAATGCTCGTATTAACGGCACGAGCACCCCCCATGGCACCGGAACCCCTATTCCTCAGCATATCCGTCCCATGTCTGGTGCATCGAGTGCTCCTCCCGCCAAACGCCAGAAGACCAAGCAGACCAACCCCAACTTGCCCGAGATCCCTCTTGCAGAGGTCCATGCGGCCTTTGTCGAGTTCCAAGCCAAGGAGGGTGACAAGTGCCTGTCCGCCAAATGCATCTACTGCAACCAAGTGCGTGCGAAGAACACGTCCCGCCAGCGCGAGCATCTGCTCCAGTGTCCTGGCTATCAGGCCACCATGAAGGATAGGATCCCGGCCAACAACCTCCTCCACCACTTCGACGATGACGATGTGGCCGCCTCGCTGGCTCTGCCCACTCCCATTCTCGAGCTTGACTTCCGCATGAGCATCCGCGTCAAGCCCAAGATCAACATTGGCAGCGGCACCTATGGCCGTCAGAGCTGGATCTCTTGCATCGGTGGCCAATGGGCTGGTCGCTGGGGCAAGGGCAATGTCCTGGTACGTAATGCCGTCCATCCATTGACTGGCCCAGCTTGGTAATGACATTTCGCATGCTAATATCTTGTGCTTTTTGCAGGCCAACGGTCAAGATACTCAGACCTCTTTTAAGGAAACAGAGACGAAGATCGATGCCCGTTACCTGATCCAGACCAATGACGACCACCCTGCCCTAATCATCTGTAAGGTCGAGGGCTGGTGGGTCGGCGAGAAGGAGATCATGGAGCGTCTCCAAGACCCGGTTGCCGCAGACAACGTTGCAGCTAACCGCTACAAGCTGCGTGTCACCCTGAAGCTTGAGACGGGCGATGAGCGCTACGAGGAGCTCAACAGCGGCGTCTGGGTCGGCAGTGGTTGCCGCCGCGGCGCCGAGATCGTCTACGACGCCTACCGCGTCAACTGATTGGGACCTGGGAGGACGGAGGAGGACTGACGAAAGGAGTGCGTTGATGTAATGCCCCTACTGCGAAAAGTCATGATGGATCAACCGAGGCAGGACACTCGGTTTGAACGACTTTGAGCGATCACCTTCTAATGCTTCTGTAAATGTTTATTACGGCGGTATGGCGTCCCGAACAATGTTGCCCACTGAGACCAGAGTCACGCTTGGCTATGTTCCTCAGAGGTATGTGACAAAGAGGCTGCTGTCCAGTGACTGGCATGTCCTTATATACAGATAGTCAAGCCATGCGTCTCGAATCACTTCCTTGCGATGCCTCCTGATTTTTATCATGTGTGGTTTCGGTCTTTTTGTTCATCTTCTTTTTTTCTTCTTTTCTTTGCTCTTGTGTTTGTCTTTTGTTGTTCTTATCATAACCATCCCTTACTCTTTCTATACCAGTACACTGCCCTTTTCGAACTTTCGATGGCCAGTTGATGGTAAGTCCCTGGAGCCATAGATCCAGTCAAAGGTACTGGGCTTGCTGTCAGTTCATTGCATATATCAACGGACAGCCTTTGCCACATCTCTTGCGCATGTCACCCACTCGTTTCTGTATCCTCGGGCCAGTGCCTTCAGCACGTCAACCCGGCTCCAGGGATGAAGGATAACCGATCTCTTGACGACACGGTACCGTCAGCCCGGGAAAGTCGTGCAGATCATGTCACCCTTCTGCACAATTCTTCAGGCTAGATCAGTACCGGTTCCGGATATATTCGGCATATTTCAACGTTGTCGAGTCTGGCCCCTTGATCCTTGCTCGTTACTTTTTCTCGTTAATCCAGCCATCGTCGGTATTGTCAGCTTTACGGAGCAACATCAGCCCCACCAGGTCTCATCAACTCCCAATCGCAGTATTTACCCTAACTGCCACAATCTTGCCCAAATCATCTTACTCAAGCACGATTTTTGAGGTTGTCAGTCGTTGACGAGAGAGATCTGGTCACCATATACGGCGGCAAGCTTAACGTCTTCCCCAAGGAAGGATTACGTTGAAATGTCATTTGTATCTTGCCTCGGTGTGACCAGACGGCTGGGAGTGGTCAACCCCTTACCATTTGTGACCGTCATCTTCGGTCATCTATGTTACTCCCCATTGAATACCTTTACGTCACAATCGCATACCGAAATTTACGTACTTTACCATCCAGCACAGAAACAACATATCCCCCCGCCGTTGGGGTCGTCAACTTCTCTCTGCTGGGCTACGGCGACGTATTATGGGATCAGGTCACGGGAGACTGATACCTTGATCTGCTTTTTGTATGGACAATGGATTCACACTGTAGGCAAAGCGTTGATATCAAGTGGCCGGGAATCAGCGAAGGGAAACGCTACAGCGGTAACAATTTGGCGAGAAATGATCTATCCTGGGTAACGCCAGCGCGGCTCTACGACTGGCGCTACCGAGCCCTGCATGGCTCAGTCGTAGTCGGCAAGCTGCTCGTCGCCCGTTACAACAGCAACTCACCAAACTACTCCTAATATACAGCATTCACGACCGGAGGCTGCCAGGGGTTGAGAGAGATCCAGTACGACGTCAGCAGCTTCGATGGCGCTCTAATCAGAGCCCCCGCCTAGAACATCTTGCACCTCATACCATGGATCTCAAGATCGCTGCCCAGCAACTGATCACCGCTGCAAACGGCAGGCTACGCGCTACGCAGTAATCCATCCTCGTCACCGAGGTCCTGCGCCAATATGACGCCCAAGACGGCGTCGAAGACAACATCATTAGCCAATCCGACCAATACCGCTTCGACATGTCCAAGATCATCTGCTCCTGCCCCTCCCGCTGCCTCACCCGCACGCAAGCCGACACCGCCGGCAAAATATTGGGCGACTACATTGTCAAAAGCGATGGTCAAACCGGACGGTTTACAACGGCTTCACCCTCAGCTAACTCTGAAGAACATCGGGTTGTCTACTTCGACCCTGACGCCTCCCTCGCCGAGTACGAATTCAGCTACGAGCGTTATTTCCTCGACAACTTCACGTCCACCTAAACCCCCTACACCTAGCAAAAATACTGGGACCAAGTCGTGCTGGACTCAGAACAGACAAACCCGGGCCAAGCTACCGCCAAACACTTCGATGCCCTTTCCTTTCACCGAAATCACGGTGGGGAAAATCACCATATACGATGGCCTCGCCGACGGCTTGATATCTCCCAGGCGTCGCTAGCCTATCAAAACACCGACAATTCTTCTATGAACATTTTAGCAAAAGAAACTCGCTCTTGGTTCCCCTAATTTATAGTTCCGGGCATGCAACACCGTTACTTCAGCAACCGGTTAACGCTCCTTCGGACTATGGCGTGCCGGGGCAGGCTTTGCAGCTACGGATGCTGCCGGCGTTGGATACGGTGCTGAAAGCGTTCGGAGGGTGATTGGTTCCCGGGCACTTGGGTGATGAGAGATATGATGTGCTGGCGGCGTTTGCAAAGTGGATGGAGGAGGCCAGGGAGGTCGAGCACATAGCTGCTACGGCGTTCAGGGGGATTGGAGCGGGGTTATAGGGGGAGGCCGAATTGTGCGTGGTCTGGACGGGCGGTTTGGGATGAGAGGGGGGATGTGTGTGTGGCGGGGATTTAGAGGTGTGTTTGGAGTTGACCGGTCCTAATGTCATTATTTTGGGCTATTTAGACGGTTCCGGGTGTTGTGGAGGAAGGAAGTTGTGTTGGTCCTTAAGCTTCTTTGCTGTATATGGCCTCTGGTTTTTGATTTGATCCCATGTATGTCTGGGTCTTCGCCTCCAATTGAAGTCAACTGACAAATGGTCAACATAGCTCCCGATGGCTTCGGTCAAGCCAGTCGGGTTCTACGGGATGGACAATACTACCCCTACTAACCAATTTTGCTTGGCGACCTACCTTGACCTCAGCCGCGCCACATACAGACATCAGTCGATAGCCCAAACAGCCCGCCTATTATATTGTAGGTTTTCTGGTGCGGGGTTTTCCAACCTGACCATAGGCCCAGTGACTCGGACTCATAAAAGGTTATCTAGCACCAACCCAACTTGGTTCGACAGAGCCGGCGCAGACCTGGATAGCACAAACATCTGCGACACCGAACTACTTAGATTTTAGTTCAGCATCATTTCCGGAAAATAGTCAAAAGCAACATAATAAATTCAAAGCTTTGAGGCCCGAAACCAGGATACGACATGGAGACCGAAAAGCCAGCACGACATGACCTGATTACAACGATCAATTACTACAAAGACCTAGGAGACGGGAGTGCTCCAACACCGGTCTACGTTGGGAAGTATGGAAATGTCTATTGTCTTTGTACGTGGCAATTATTCCGCGTGCTCCAGGCCCAGCTTATACACCTCCAGGCCCAGACAGCAGCAACATTTGCCTAGCAAAACACGCATGCTGGGGATAACCCACAACTTCCCTGAGCCTACCTTTTTTTTGTCCTATCCCACTTTATGTTAATCACGTCATGAACCTCTATCCAGCCAAAGTCAAGACCATCCGCTTCCCGTGCACATCCATGTTAAGTGCTAACGATTAACCTCACTCCTTGCCCTCTAATTAGGGACCAAGTCACTAACAAGCGACTCATGCTGCCTGTCACCACCACCGTTACCGACGTGACGGGGGATGACGTTGAGAAGAGCTTCACGCTTGATCAAAACGGGTTTCAGTACCTGAAGCACGTTAGCGAGTTGGCGCGAGAGGAATTCGCGGACGAAGAGAAGATCCAAAGGGAGTATTTCGCCGATTGCGAGGGATTCCTGAAGGAGGTGTAAGTGCAAGCTTCCTTCTTTTTGGCCCCGCTACATGTACTTGTCTGGATGGAGTTCGCGTACCCTAGATGTAGGTACTCTGATGGTTAGAGGTTAGGTATTGTTCACATGACTACAACATCCACTCTACCTACATACAGACCCCATGATGTTCAGCTATCGGCCTCAAGGGGGGGGCCTTTACGAGCGCCGGACCGCTAGTCGACATGCACACGGTCATAGACAACATCTGGCACGCATGCAACGTGTCTGCACTGACTACACCCCACGCAACCAGGCACTCTGCGAGCAGGCTCGGCAGGGGATTATGCAGGGACAAGAAACTCGTCAAACTCCACTCCTTAGTTTCTTACCCCAACTTTCTAATTCCAAAAATAAACATTAAAAACACCAAAACCGAAGTTCTAGACTCCCAAGATCTGCGCCTGTGCAGCTTACTTACCTCTAACGTGTCTTTTCTCTTCCTGTACCCCCCTTCTCCCCTTGATTTTCAGCTTGACGCCCTTGATTGTCAGTTACCCGCCGAGATATTACTGCCGAGTAATAGCAGCACACGAACTAACCAAATATCCCCCTCTTCGGGCCTCAAAACCAACAGCACCGGTGCATCCCGCGTCTTCGCCTTTGACCATCGGGTCCGCCGCGGCCCTTCCGACTGGCATGAGATTCCCGCGTACAACGTGCGGCACCGGGGCCCGCTGCACCGCGCACACGTGGACCAGTCATACGCCGGAGCGGAGATGGTGTTGCGGGAGAAGGTACCCAATCCGGACGAAGTGGGAACACTGATGCAGAGAAGATGGGGAATTGTTAATGTGGGTTGACCAATTCCTCTTCTGTTTATCTCCTTTGACAGTTCATGGCCCCTACTGCCCGATGGAACTGCAATGAAGGCATGGATGAGTTCAGTATAGCCCTTTATCTCAGAGACAGCTTTGGTTGCGCTAATGTAGGTACCTTACTCCCGCTGAACTCCAGGTTGCATACACCGGAGACACTTCCGTTACTCGTTGATACGTCGACCCTGTCAATAACAACGTCGTCGCAAATACACCTCCTTCACTTTACCCGACCCCATCATGAAGGATCAAATGCACATGCAGCTCTCTAACACATCATAGATCTGGCGGCCCATCAAGCCCATCCACAAAGACCCTCTAGCCCTCTGCGACGCCCGTACCGTGTCCGATGCCGACCTCGTTCCGGCATCTATCATTCTCAAAGGCGGACAGCGCAGGGAGTCTTGGACGGTCAAGGCCAACCTAGAACATCGGTGGTACTTCAAGTACCAACAACAGCCGGACGAGGTGGTGCTGATCAAGTGCTTTGATAGCGACAGTTCCCCAGGGATGGCGAGGAGGGCACCGCATTGCGCCGTTGAGGATCCAGATGCTAGAGAGAAGGATTGGAGGGAGAGCGTTGAAGTTCGGTGTCTCGTTTTCTGGTGAATTGGAAGTGCAGGTGCCTTAGCAGGTACCTAGAGGTATCTACCTAGGTACCTAGTAATGCGTCCTCGATTCCCTGGGTCGAACCAGATAATCCTCGTTCTGGCAAATAATGCTGTGGCCCCGTTTTCATGGGTTTCATGGGACCAGCACGCTCAACGTCAAAGAGTCTGAACATTCTGAACAGAAACTGCAAGCGATGTTTTACCCAGCATACTTCCAACCCACCTCCCCGAGCCAAGGATATCACCACGACATTCAGTTACCTCCACATTTCCTCGCGCTGCCCTTGGCTAGCGTCGAGAAACCGCTCAGGGCGAAAGAACTCGGCGTCGTCGCCGTAGAGCTCCGTCGCCATGTTGATGGCCGAAATGTTGACGTCTATCGCCGTGCCAAGAGCAAAGCGGCCGCGAATGGTGTCACCTTCTAGGGGCATGGCTAAGAAGAAGAGAGCCCTTCGTGGATAACTGCCTGTGGCTATGTGGGCATTTCTGGGGGATCACATCGTATAATAGCCCCTAGCTGACGTACCTGCGGATACGGAAGGGTCCTGGCCTCCTCGTATTTAACTGGACCTGCTTGGACGCCTTGCCCTCTAGTGCGGCCCTAGGTAGACGACTTCGTGCTCGATTTCAGCCCGTGTGAGGCCCAGCCATTCATGTTCCCTGAGGAAGACAGCCTTGATTGTCGTCGGTCTGATAACGAAAACGGGCCGTCATATTGATCGCAAACCCCATTAATACCAGTTCGCCTCCCCAAACCCTGCAAGAAGCTAAGCACGTCCTTCTTCTTCTTCATCTTCTCGCCAAACCCCAGCTTGGTCGGTAATCACGTCCATACCTCTAGTCAGATACGAGGACCAATCTGCCAGCTCCGCCCATTTTGCTCCATGTTTACTACCAGAGGTATTCTCACTAACATACCGCTCCTTCACAAACCTCACGGACTCCTCCACAGCCTCCTCCACCCGCCTCTCCACCCCATGCACCTCCCTCCCTCTATACGCGCCCATCACCCTTGCCTTCATCTTGTCGTATCTCGCGCCCTCCAGGAATCGCGGTAGTGCGTCGGCCGGGTACCTAGTATTGATGCACTTGAACACCTCGAGGTTGTTGGCTAGGACATAGAGGTAGTTGGGCGCGATGTGGATGAGTGGGCTGTTGGTGGAAGCGCAGCGCGGATGGGAGTGGTATGCAGAAGGGGTTGAGGGTGCTGGCGAAGTGTTGCCGGCGAGGGGCAGGTACGAGAAACGGACGGAGAAAGGGCCAGGGACCGGATGTGTCGGATGTGAGGGTGGAAAAGGGAGAAGAGGGAGGTGAGGGTGTAGTGGACTGGAGGGTGAAGGCGAGGAGGAAGACGGAGAGGAGGGTGGAGGTTGGGTTAGGGTGCTCCGTGAAAGAGGGAGGAAGTGAGACTGGTGGTGCAGTTGGTGAGGAATGTCATGTAGGTGCGATGATGCCATGTAATGGTTCTGTCTTGGGGGTTTCCGTTTATTCCAGTCGACCAAATCACCCTTGCCGGTGTGAACGGGTACCCGGGAATGAGTAGTGAGGAAACTAAAAGGCTCCCTGCTCATCCATGGTACTGTTCCCATCCTTTTGAGATTCACAAACAACCCTCTACCAACTGCGACTCCAAAGCTAAATAAGCAGCGTAAAGCACCTTCTATCATCGTATGGTCAGCCAGAACTGTTCAATTTCATTTCACTTTGCTGTAGTCCTCAGTCTCGGTACAACCGCAACCAAGATCAGGCGCGTAGCCGAACCGAAACTATTGTGGCCTGGTGGCGTTAGGAGTAACACAAAAACCAAACTTCCCTAATACACCCTCCATCACCGTGCTCCCGTCTCCAAGAAGGTGCGCCGAGTGAACGGCTACCGAGCAAGTCCACGCGGGAGACCAACAAGCGCACCGGGTTCGACCTGAACCTCCTCCACGGAAAGTTCATTGGATTGGTACTCTGGTACTGTACCCTCGTGCCTTCCAAACACGGGATGTTCATGTTTGCCACCAGCGATTTCCGCCAGCACCCTCCAAGAGTTTGGGTATTCTACAGCAACTACGACATGCACAAATCAACGAGAAGGAGGGAGCGGTCTACTGCCGATCCACGTTGGGGAGAATACATAACCTCTTTTGTCTTTGTACGCTAAGTCCAAATTATGTGGTGTAGCCCCAATCCGAAAGGGGGTTATTGGTTGATTGTCACATTCGCCTGGCAAAGCACGCATACGTACCTACCTACTAATAATAACCTACAGCTTCCCCTCAGCCTACATAGTACTTATCACTTTTCTTTTTCACTTTTTTGTGACACCGGTGATTCCTCCGCGGCCGCCGCTCCGCTCATCCAGTCAGGCATCGCTCCACTTGCCATTTCAGTGTCGCAATACCGGGAATAACGTGTTCCCCTGAGCCAAAAACCTACCTTGAGCCCGACGTCGAAGCCAAGAGCTGCCGACACGACACACGACACCATGTCGCATCAGGTTCTCTCGATTGGGATCATCTGTACGGGATTTCAAGCAAGTCCCATTATCGGCATTTCGTCTGTGCTTGCCAAATTCCCATCTTGCCCTGCTCGACTACCCTGTCGTGCCCGAAGTGATGAAATCTTAGCTCAACCATACATAGTACAAAGCCACAGTCCGCGCGTCCTACGGAGGGAGGCTGGAGACTGCCGCCGCATCTGCGTTGTGAGCTGGCCGGTCGGGGATGAACAACCGTCCCGACCGGCATCAAGATAACCCCACGCCCACTCACAATTCACGAGCCACGCCAAACTAGGCAAGGGTAGGGGGTTCACCAGTCCCATCATCCTACCTAGACTAGGACCGGGCAGGGAGGGGTTATCGGGGGGAAGGACACCATTCCCGCTCCCGCACTCCATTCATCATCACTGCAGTGAGACATTGACAACAACAAACGACGAACGAGTCAACGTTGACAACATCATTCCACCATTTCCAATACATGCTAGCGTGCCAACCTACCGGATCCTCGATAAAAGAAAAACCGATAGTTCAACGTCGGCGACGATCAATCGTTCGATTTTTTCCATTTTTCCGAAATTGTTTCGGGCAGCACGCTGGAGTAATCAATCGTCGAGTTTGGCAGGTGTGTCATCTTGCTTTTGGCTTTAGCCTCCAGACCACATCCTCTCTGTTCCAGCAACCCCAAAAAATCTGGCCACAGATGTTGTTCAAACAGCAGGGAGGGGGAGGGGGTTTGCTGAAAGTGATGTCGTGCACAAACCACATGCCATCCAACCCGGCCAAAAACACACATACAACCAAAACTGGCATGCTAAAAGCAAATTTGCCCCTGTTTCAGACCCCCTTTTTTTCCCCATTTGACTATACAAGTTAACAGCGAACAAAACCTTCCTATCTGGTGTTGCGATTTGCAGTTTTGCACTTGGAAGAAGAAAAAAAAAAGAAAAATAAAACAAAAATAGTTTTCCGTGATACCGATACTGTTGCTGTTACAGGGGCGGGGGCGGGGGGGTTTGCTCGTACTGGGGGTTGCTGGAACAGGAAGTCATGACTGTAGCTTCCTTGTAAAACCTTTCTTCTGTTCCTTCTTCTCTTCTCTTCCCTTTCCTTCTCTTCCTGTTCCCTTCCGCTTCCGCTTCCATGCGCGAACTGGACTGGCCAAGACACGAAGAACGCCAGCATGTGATTGACTGAAAATGCCAGAATAGTGATGATTATCCGACGGATGGATGGATGGATGGATGGATGGATGGATGATTGACAATAAGCGAGACCACTGTTGTTGACGGGTAACACAGGCACACTAGGTAGGTAGGTACAGTAGATAGTCGGGTAACACTTTTCACAAGTCGAGCAGATACCAAATCAATCCACCCCCTTCTCCCCGAGAAAAAAAAAAAAAAAAAAAAAGAACAAAAAAGAAAATCAATAGTGCTTACGAGCAGTTGTAGATCGCTGTGGGTAAGCATATAGCGAGTTCTCGATCTGATATTCGAAACGAGATGTTGCGGTTCAATGGGTGTGTTAGACCCGACGTTGAGGTTGGTGGTGTTTCGTTGTGGGCAGGATCCAGGACAGTGGAAATCCAGGAACCACTGACTGGCGGGGGAAGGGACTTGTTGTACACTGTACACCATCGCAGGACGCAGTTAGACTACTATAGTATCTATTGCCTGGCAACCAGCATTGCGAATCGCGTACACTACCACCATTCTACGCAGGATATAGGTAGCTGGGGATCAACAAGTGCATTCCATCTCTGGGAATGGCATCACACCACGTTCCAACACGGATTAGAGCATATGAAACACGTCTAAATGTCTCCGTGATTAGACAGACAGACAGACAGACAGCCTGAATGTTGAGTTGTGAATGGAATTTTCAGTTAGTCACAAATGAGTTACTGTAGTTCTGTGACGGATACTACGTACCTAGGTAAGGTAGGTTTCGCGGTCCTGGAGATATCTTTTTGGTTTTGGACAGTGTAAATCCGGTGACATGGATAGCTACTCAGTGTCTGTCTCTCTCTTTGAGCCGCCAATTTTACGCTGGCCTACGTACACTAGTACAACATAACCCGCGGCCGGCAAACTGAACAACCCCAGCCTCGAGCCAACCAGCCAACCAGCCAGCCAGCCATTGCTTGCTTCGGATAGGGGGCACCTATGAGGGGACAGCAGCAGGCCCGGCTACATAGCATTAGGGCAGGCATTCCAAAAGACCGACATGGACCACGGGCAACCAAGACACGGCTGCGACGTGGCACCCGGAAAGAGACATCTGCCATTGGGCGATTGATCGCCAAGTTGTGTAAGAACGGCCGGGGACCCTCAGCAGTAACTGTAATTACCTACTGTTTCTTTGCACTGTACCATATACTGCGTAGAAACGAATGGTGATCGTAACGCGCTTACCAAGTGGGGACTAGTAAAGTATGTAGTGTACATTCTTTAGGTGGGTTCAGCGGTCTAACGGCCCGGGACTGGCCACAAATGCCCGTCCCACTTGATTCCCGGGGGATGCACGGACCATTGTTTTAGAGGTACGTAATTTCTGAAAATGTGAGGAATGAGGGTACCTGTAAGAAAGAAAAATAGAGAAAATATCAAAGGCCATCAGTTCCGCTTCAATTGATCACCATTAACGGCCATCGTGATTTCGTCTCCATCATGGACGTGGTGTGTGTAGAGGTATGGAGATGTCGTAAACGCGATCTACTCAACCGTTGAACACTTGATTTAATAAGCAGTCATGAACGGCACCGATGATAGGATGCGCTCCTCGCCCTCCTCACCTCCGGACGGAAATTATAAACAGACAATATCCTGACCTTGAAGCACAATCAGATTGACCCCTGGGTGCGCCGCAAGGCAGCGCAGCCCAGCGGTCCGTCCTGATAGGACTCGAGCGAGCCCATTCCCGACTCAGCAAAACAACAAGACAACGGCGTCAGGTCTGCGCGGTGCGCTGTTCACCCTGTTGACCACCCGTTGACCACGTCTCGCCAAAAATTTCGTCTTCATAAAGAACGGATCTGGCTCAATTTCAGCATCCTTCCTTCCAATAAACCCACACGAGTGAGACCGATGAGGCCGTTGGAGATGATCATGTATCACGCCCCACGATTTGTCCATCACCGAACCCACCACAAACCACGGCCGGTCTATTCCCTTTCCCGCCCCGGACGCTTAGGCGATACCCAACCCCTGGTGTCCCCGTTTTCCAACGCCATATGTAATGATGAGCCCTGCTCTGTGGGCACAAAGCGGGACCAGCCGTTTAAGCTGCTGGGAACAGCGAAGAGAGATCCATTTCCCTTCTTCATCCATGCTTGTCACGCAACCGTGGCATAACTGCGCTCTCGTGGTCCCGCGGTTTCAGCATCAAAAAGCTGGAGTGTCTCGAGTGGATGACAAGCGATTATGGCATCTTGCTGACCCGACTGTGAAGTGTTGTACATAAGCAGGCTGGACATTAGTTAGTATGAAGGGCGTTACATAGTTGGGGGTGATGTTTTTGGTGGTCCAGGGATCCATCGGTGACTTGCTGATATGTACGCTGCTAAACGCTCCGGGGTGGCCATGTTCGCGGCAACTGAGCTGCATATCCGCTGGCTGTTGCCGCAATCTCCCTGTCCTTGCGAGCGACCAGCCAAGCAGTAAGTTTTTAGTGGTGGAAGTCGGATACTTGCCCTCACCAGCGCAACCTCCGCAGACGCTGGACAAGGACATGGTCAGTATGTAGAGAAAAAAAAGCGTTGCTGCTGGCAAGATGAAGGACCGCAAATCCATAATTTCCCGGTTCAGATGGAGAGGGCAAACTGTCGTAAGCGCCATTCTATTCGCTTGCTGGGTTGCAAACATCCACATCATCCCCAAGCCAAGCACTTAGGTACCGTGCTAAGAACCTAAACACCTAATCAAGGATCGAGCGTGCCTGAAGAAGCGAGAAGGCATTCTCCTATCATTCCCTCGGACAAATCCACAGTGTCCCTCTTGATCGATTGTTGCCCATGTTCACCGACTGAACCAAAGACATGAACGGCTGAAGCTCGGAGCCAAATCGGGGTGTCTCAGTACTGTATCTTGCCGCGAGGTGATCGTCTCTGCGAACAATTCTGAATGGCTGCTCGTTTGCCCTGCAGCCAGGTGGAAATGCCCATGCGGATTTGTGGGCAGCATGTTCGTACCTGTCACTCTCTGGCAAGGCGTGGGGGGGGGGCTAAATGACCTCATGGGCCGGCCTAGAACCTCTGGACAAGCAGCAAAGATTGGCGGATGGGATTGGCGACTTGTCAAGCCTCATCTTACTGGCTCCGTCAGGTGAGCCCATGCAGCCGCGAGTCTTTCCACCTTCACCGCACTTATTGAGCCCATGTCTCACACCGCAGCCAGCGCCCACCCCCCCCCCCCCCCAAAGGGAAACCAGTCCCAGTGGTCCCAACGGTCCCTCCCAGGTGTAAGTAAAGTACAGCCTGGGGCCCTGAAACCCCGAGGGCAGGCAGGCAGCGGCCATGCAGCCATGCCGGGCATCCAATTCCAAGACGACGAACAGCCCCGCTGGAGAGGCCTGGGAGACCACATCCCCTGAGAGATCTCGAGCAGCATCATCTCCCAGATCTGCACCGTACACTAGACGGGCCGGCTGCCACCTAGACCGGCGATAATTGGCGGATCGCGATGGCTTGACTGTGAACAGGTGTCGAATGGCCGTTGCGACGCTACTGTAGACAGGCGCGTCGTGCTAGGCTGGAATTGGCGGCCAATCCTTGCTGGGCAAGGGAAAAAGCGAAGCCACTGCTGCAAAAGTGCTCCCACAACGGCATATCGTGCGGACCACCGCTGGGAACACCACTGGAACACTTGCAGCACCAGTGGGCAGGTGCTTTCACGGCCGAACTCTCCACAGGATCCCACCTTACCAATTACGTTGAGTGGGGCCTCGAGTTTCCACCTCACTGATTGATTTCCTTTCTCGGTCGCAGACTGGAACCGTACCTTGTAGGTGACGGGCTTGCGAGCTCCATGCCCGACAAAAACGGCCGGGCTTCAAGCATAAACCCGGTGCTGGACATATAAGGATTTCTGGTGCCGGTTGAACTTTGACTCGCAGAAGGGTGATGGCGACAGAAAGAGCCTGGACCATGCCGATGATGATGGGTGCAGCGTCCGGGGCAAAAAGATAGTACCTACTGCAAGGCTGTGGTCAAGACACCACCGGCGTCATTAGCGTTGTTTTGTCCGGTCGCGCGTTACGGACGTGGGATTTTCGGGGCTGCGGTACTGTAGGGGTACGTATGGTGCCTCTACTGGGTGTACCCTTCGGAGTCGGAGGGTCAGCCCGTCCATTCCGTCTGTGGGAACAATGGGGATAAGGGGGGGGTCTGCATTGTGCTGGGCAATTGTCACTCACCATTGCATTGCAACTTGAAGCGATCTTCATCGGATGCCACCCTCCATCGAGATGCCCTGGGAGCCCTCCGATGCTGCTGATTCTGAATGAGTGCCATGACCGATAGCCCATAGCCCGAAACCGAGCAGTCAGACTGCGCGAAACTCGTAATATTCGGGGCCTGTCTGTTGCCAAAATTGCCGGGCGACCATGTCAGGGTTGGGGGTTGGGGGGGGGGGGGTGATCGAAGGGGGAGGAGGGGTGCGACTTCAGTGAGTGGGTAGAACCGACGCTACCTCTACATTAGGTAAGAATCCATCGACATGGGAATTCCGTTGGATCGGGGGGTTGAACTGCACCGGCTGGGGCTTGCGGTGTGTTGGGTGGTCAGTGGCAGGCCATGTCCGCTGCTGGCCTTAGGTTCTTGCTGCTTTCCACTTGGCACCCCCGACGCTCACATAACTGCTGCACTTGGCTTGCTCAATGCCGAGCATCCCTGAAGACTGTACCATTGGAAAGTGCAGCCAAAGGTCGCCCGGCTCGGAATAGGTACCCATGGAAACGAAGCATTGGAGATCAACGAGAACAGCATAAACCGTGTGCCCCGCGTACCTTGCTAAAATCCAGAAGCAGCAAACCACCACACACGGACTGACTGCAAACGAACCAAGCAGCCACACACTCATCGCCATCACCATCACCAACGTGAAGCGATACACAACATGGACTTCCTAAGCCAAACACACCACCAAACTGCTGTCCGTAGGTCGTCCGAAATGGCTCATTATCAGGTTCGTGACACTTTCTCTTTCTCTCTCTCTCTTCCAAATTGTTTTTCTTTCAATGTTATTTTTGGCTCCAAATCGTGGAGGCAAAAAAAAAAAAAAAAAAAAAAAAAAAAAAAAAAGCCAGTCAGCGTGTCGGCAAGCCCACGCCCAGTGCTAGTATCCAGCTACACCTGAACGCGGCGATAGCTGAGAACCCAGGACAAATGGCAACTCTTTTCTTCTCGCTGTTCTCCATGTGTGCCATTGTTCGTGTTTGTAAATACACAGTGCGCAAGTCATGCGTTGTGTTTTTTTTTCGAAAACGGCTCGAATTGTCATCAACGTCGATTTGGTCGCAGTATGTGCGGAAGCCATCGGCGAAAGATCGAAAGCATCGCTTTTTTCTTCTTCTGGATCGTGTGCTGACAGATGGCCGTTCAACATCTAGTATCCATATCAGATGCTGCAACCAGAGCAATTCCTATCCTCCAATGTCGAGCCTCAACTGATGCCATCGCATTTCGCATTTGCCCCGTGGCAGAATGCTGATTTCGCGATGGCGACAAACGCAAAACTCTTCCTCGGAAACGATGATTTTTCGTCTGCTCCAATCGCCCAGAGATACGCAGCCCGCACGCCCTCCGTGTCGCACAGCGTAGGCCCAAGACGCGTCGACGCAGCCGCAGCACCCCTCGACAATGCCATCCAGACTGGCTCACCGTGGGCCTCAGCCGACCCAACAACTCCAGTCGGAGGCGAGACCATGACTGGCTACGTCCCCAGCCCCATGGGCACATTCAGTAGCGCTGCTAGTAACACGAGCTTTCCTCTCACGCCAGATGCTGTGAACTCGGTCGCAGGCTTCGACTGGCAGAACCCCGACATTATGACGAGTCCTGGTGTGTCGTTTGGTGTCGAGGCGTGGCCGATGAGGTCATCATTTGACAAAGGCAGCACAGCCGAAACGATCACAATACGTTCCGGTCTGCCTCATATGGCAACTCCGCCATTGTTGGACGATGTTGCTGGAGTCGTAGATGCGGAGACCTTCGTTTCTTCCCCTAGTTATTCACAGCAGAGTGTTGAACTCGCGCCATCCGGTGTTGACAGTCCTTTGCAAACCCCCGGGCTCGACCAGTCGCAGCCTGAAAAGACCGAATCCAGGAAACGTGGCAGGAAGAAGACTCCTGAATCCGCCCGCAAAGTGTGTGGTCAAGATAACACAACTCCTGTACCTGCATCCGGCCGTGCGTTGCGGACCGCTGCCCGCAAGGTGGTGCGCTTCAAGTCGGCGCAAAAGCCCGGAGAGTCGGCAGAAGAGCGTCGCGCCAGAGTAAACCACAACCAGGTTGAGAAGCAATACCGCAACCGATTGCACGAGTACTTTGATAACCTCCTCAAGGTGCTTCCTGACAACCCTGGCATGATGGAGCCCAAAGCCGAGCCCGAGAACGATGATGAGTCGCAGTCGTCTTCGTCCACATCGGGGCGGAAATCGAGGAATTGGAGCAAAGCCGAGGTCCTAGAGAGGGCATGTCATCACATCCATGAGCTCCAAAACGCGAATGCCAAGTTGATGCAAGAGCTGGAGACCAAGAGACGCGAGTCGTCCGCTTCGTCCGCTTCGCTGCCATTTTCAAGCTGAAATGCCAGCTGAGAGATGTCTAGTGATCGGTCATTTTATTTCTCGGTACATGAGCTCCGAGGGCCAATATCGACATGGAGCCTCAGATGTTGCTGCTACCATGTTCTTTTTTTTTTTTGTTTACTCTTTTGCTTCTTTGCCATCATTTCTTTGGGCGGGCGTTGGCGTGGGTGTGCTGTTTTGTTTTTGAATCCTCAGGGATCTGGAGTCTGGCGTCTGGAATAATGTACCTATGATATCTTTTTCCTCTGTTCTGAACAATTGTTTAATATGCTTTCCAACTGGACCGAGAAGTTCCAAATTGTTTTGCTGTGCTTTCGGTGTGCCCTGAGAAGTTGGGTTTGCTGTGTTTTGTTTCTCAACGTGATGAAGAGCTCTGTGTTGTTGCGCTTTCGGCTTTGGCGGTGGTGAAGTTACAGTGAAGGTAAGTGGTGGTGGCGGCGGCGTTAACAGTGGTGCTAGCGTCGGTGGTAGCGTAGTGGCAGTAGTAGCGGTAGCGGCAGTAATGGTGATGGTGGTGGTGGTGGTGGTGGTGGTGATGTTGTTGTTGTTGTGGTGTGCATCGTAGTGGAGGAGGGGAAGACAGGCTGGTGGTGAATTTGGAGGTGGAAGTGGTGTTCTTTTTGTTTGCCAAAGCAAAGACGGGGAATTGAAGACAAATGATATATGACCAGCGAATTTGGATTTTTCATGCAATGCGGCACAGAGACACCGTATCCGACGTCAGAAAGATCCACGCACTTGTACTGTGTTGAAGGAATGTTTAGTTTGGGGTGAAAACAAGTTGTGTTCCCATCCCGTGTGGTCGGTCGAGTCTGGTGCCGGTGTGCCCCTTCCCCTGGGTCGTTCGGAGGTGTCGCCGGTAGGTGGTGGTGTTGCAAGTGGTGCAAGTGGTCGGCTGCTGTGGTAGGTGCCTAGGTCGTCGTGGTCGTAGTGAGTGGGGGGCGGGATTGGTAACGATTTTGTAAGTCAGCTCTCTGAGGTCCCTTTCCCATCGCCATGACCCCCTCCATCAAGGTTGTTCCCTTCCGCCAACCTTGTTCCGCCTTGATCTTCAAAAGGGTTGAGATTTGCGAGATGGGCACGGGACCTGGACCCGTAGTGTAAGTGTAAGCTGAGTGTAGGTAGATAGACAAGTTTTCCGAGATGTGGACGAACGAAAGACCGGTCCCTCAGTATGGTAAATGATAGTCGGTTTTCAGCGCATCAGGGTCCGACATCCAGACGACGGGAATTCTTCCTTCAGCCGCGTTGAAGCCATGCTGCCGCCATGCTGGAATAGGAAAACATGATACCACTGACATGAAACTGACTCTCGTATCCCCCATCATCAGACCGTAGTAAGAATGGCATTTTCATGACCGGCTCGCCGGGGAGACCGTGTTCTATATGTGCTCGCTAGCGCTCCTAAGTCGGGATCATGCTGTAACAGACTCTGGCATGTCTGCTTTTCTCTGATGCACTTGATGCAGTTCGATCCGGTGGTCCCCAGCAGCCTTGGCGCTCTCTCTGTTGAACGCTGATTTGCTGTGGCTGCCAGGGGCCAGGCATGGCACTTCCGCAAGTTGAGTGCTGAATGGTGGCACACCAATGACAAAAAAGCTGGCACCTTTAGTTCCTCTCATGAAGTGGTCGAAAAAAAAAGAACCGGATATGCCACTCCAACCGAGACGGCTCGCTTCGGTCTGGAACAGCTTTTATAAACCTTTGATAGGGATTGTTATAATTTGAAAACATATCGAACAGAGTGACTTGGAGATTCCTCCACTCAAGAACTGCCTACTGAGAGATGCGTGAAAAGAGCAAGTATGCAGGTACTCTTACGACTTTTTGGGTTGATCGCCCATGTGTTGCCCGGCATGTGCCAGCTTTTCTGTCACGAGCCTGTGGGTGGGTAAAAGTCACTGACAGTGCCTCGCAGGCCCGGTGCAGACCCTCGCTAGCCATCATACGATAGTAGGAGGCACCTCCGATGTTGTCATGACCAATCAGACCTCGTCGGTGACTGGCCCGGACCAGTCAACGACCTCTCTGGCAACTGCCATGGGATTGCCATCCAATCCACTGTCAACAGACCACTGCAACAACACTTGACACTTTCTAGACTGCTTTTTCTGCCGTCTCACTGTCAGGCAGCTTTTCCGATGGCGGCTGATCGTCGAATCTCTGTCACTTCCACCTACTTCCTCTTTCTTGTTATCTTCAGACATCCAATCAGTCTGTTTTCTTCGGGCGTAGGACGGCAGGAAACATCATGTTCACATAGGTAGATTCAGCGAGCATTTGAGCGATCAGCGGTATGCTGCGCTTGTGACAACCCTTAACAACGTGCCTCTATTGAACCCTGCATTCTTACCCTCTCTTGGTCACGACAAAGACCGCGTTCCGTCAGGTCTAGCCTCAATCTGCACGCAATTCGGTCTTCGCTTCTTCCAAGACATCATGATGGTTTGTCTGTTCCAATCCTGAACAGTCTCGCAGCATGTCCAATATATTCCCGAATGGCTCGTACGTTCACGATGTTGAGTCTTGAAGGAATCGAGATCCAACTGGGAAGGAATTGTTGGGCACAAACACAACGACGCTGACCACAGCACATGTATATGTTGACCGCTTTACCTTGTAACCGGGGCCGAAATCTGTTCCTGCTCCTTTGGTTGGTCACAGCTAACACGGATAACACCTGCCAATTGCAGCCCTGTACTGAACCTTTTCTTTTCTCTTCTTTCCTTTCTTCCTTCTTTTTTTTATAAGATTTTTTTATCAAAGGTACACTACAACTCCGCTCCTCGATCCAAGACCCCCCAACGCTCCAGTGCTTCAAGCCCTTCGAAATGGCTAATGCGCCTGGCATGGGGATCAACTACAGACATTATGTGAATAGTGTACAGTGATGCGTGGTTACGCTAGGTACCCGTCCCTCCCACACCAGTTCGCCCTCAAGCCGTCTTTTTGAGAGACCACGGACTCCTCCAATACCTTGTCCTGTTGACCCAGAAGGAAAGAGAAACAAACCGCCAAATTCCCGGAATCGACACGGTCAATATAATGGGATGCTACGTGTACCGTGAAAAGTGTGTGCCGTCGGTGGAAGTGACAATGGATGATGACCCGTCATCGACCACCGCATCCACAAGTCAACACTCGGTGCACCACGAATCCCAGGTCCCATCCATGCTCTCCATCCCTCATCAATATGATGCTTCCCCAGCAGCACAACCTCCCCTCGCTGGACAGCCGAGCCGCCTCTTCCTCGTCCAGCTCAGAAAAGTCTGACAAGATGCACCGCGACTGCACCCACTCATCGTCGTCATCAAAGTGGCGGGGAAAGGCGACGTCAACGTCCACACCACCAGCAAGCTCGTTGGGCAGGCGGATGCCAGAGAGGAATTGCTGCACTACGGCTCGCGGCAGGGCGACCTGCTCGATCTTGATGCTTCCGTGTCCCGGATAGGGACCTCTTCCTGCTGCAGGTAACGGTTGGCGAACGTCGTCAAAATCAGTGATGGAAAGCTTGCATCGTGGGATGTGGATGAAGGGTGTCTCGGCGGACGCGCTGATGCTGACATTCTGAGATGGTTGTCGGCTGCGCCCATCTGTTGCTGATGTTGTCCTTGTTGATGTTGTTGTTGATGTTGTTGTTGTTGTTGTCGGCCATACGGCTACGAGCATCTCGGGGGAAGACCTCGTCACACCGTCTTCAGATTGCGGTGACTCTTGCATCGGATACCAGGTAATATCTTGCATCGACGTCGGAACTGGATGGTTATACTCCAGCCCTCTTGAATGGACCAAGACGACGCTTTGCGACATGTTGGAACCGACATGCTGCTGCTGGTGTTGGTTTGGTGCTGGTTGTGATTCAGTCCCACTTGGTGTAGACGGGTCCGGGTTATTGGTGGGCGTAGTGCTGGCGAAGCTCTCCGCCGTGGTGCTGTTGCCGCTAGTGGTTGATGGCGCTGGCGAAGAGGAGACAGTCTCAAGTGAAAAACGATCTGAAGCTGAACACGACTGCCACCCGCTGGAGTACGGCAGGACAGCCGGACGTGGGAGCGTGGCAGCCATGATGCAGACTTTCTCTCAAATCAGGCAAGCCGGGCAGATAAGGCCCGTCCTATTTGCAATCAAACAGTCGCCACTCAATGACTATTCACTTTGGTGCCAGCGAACGCTCACGAGACTTTCGAGACAGAAAAAGCCGTATGGAAAGGTATCCGTGTGGTCGGTCGTTCTTGAACTTTTCCGCCGCCACAGCAAGGGGGATTCCGAGTGTGTCGTTGGGTTTATGCCCGAATACATGGATGCGAAAAGGGCGCGGGGGATAACACATTAATATATGCTCTCTACACGTATTGGTGAAGCAACCAAGGCCAGCACACGTTGCAACGAAGCAAGAAGGCATTGGCAGGGCATTGCCAAAAGGGAGTAGGTCAGTGATGCATATGTGCTCAATCTTATCCCCTCTTGACACAGTACAGGTTGATGCCCTGGTTTCCCTCTTGTGTTTGTTCCATGTGCTGACCCGGTTTTATTAGGTAGCTTCCATGCCCCATTGCTGGCCGCCCAATCACTCTCCAATCATCACGGACGGGGACACTTGTGAGAGACTGTGGCGGGCGGGATACAATGCACCGAACCATTTCCCTTTGAGGTTACTACTACACTACATGTAGGCCCAAGCACTCACTCACTGCACTCCCCTCGGCCTTGATTAATGTGCTCCCATTGACATTGTATGCCCATCATGTCCAGGAACGGGCAAGAAGAAGGCAAGAAAGGCCAGAATAGGCCGCTCATCACAGCTCCTCCATGTGTGCCAATCAGGGGCTTAACTCGGTGAGCGGGGCGCCTAAGGACTCAGCAAGGAATAAAGCCGGACGCTATTCTCTAGCGCATCGTCAACGACCGCAAGCCCCGGAACTGCTCCAGTCGTAGCTCACCGGGGAAGTGACAGTTCTCACTCACGGAACCGTGCCCGTCGTCTCCGACACACTTTGAGCCACCGGACGCAGGCGAAACGGAAGATCCCGCGACACAATACCTAGCCCAAGCCCCCCATGAGTTCCGGATGCAAAAACGAAACATGATCATCCACACCCTTACCCGCATCGGTGACACATCATATGATTTTCAGTATTTCAAGACACCAAACGAGATCGTCGACATCTTCCATTGCCCAAAAGATGGGGAAACCCGGTCAACTTATAGCCACTGGGTAACAACGATATGGAAAGAACAGTGCAGCACTCCTTGATCGAAAACCCTACTAGGCTCAGTGTTCCATCGGACCAAACACACCGAGACATTGACCGAGCTCTGTGTTCCATGAGGAGCACCCCGCAAAAGTATACATATAGGGCTAAACCAGACGTTTGGGAATTGTAATATCGGAAAATCGGGGTGTGGAAATGGTGAGACCCTCAGCGAGATCCGAACCAAACTGCCAGGCCACAGACACATACATACACGGCAGACATCTTACACACCTTTTGGTAAGGCTTAGCAAGCTCTCTCTCTTCCCTGTTTCTTTTTCCTTTTTCTTTTCTTTTCTTTTTGCTTTCAAGCTGTGCTAGCTTGGAACAGAAGCATCAACAACAAGTGAGACACTCGCCGGTTTCATGGTTGTCCGGTCTGCCCAATGCCGGTGAAGGTTCAAGGTCCTTTCACCTTCGTGCTGTGTACTGTACGAGCTGTGAGCCTTTGCCTCATTTCGTCGGCCCCCACAGCTTTATACCGAACCTATCAAGCTCGGAGCTGCACCTTTTTTGGACAAACCCTACTTCTACCGTACCGACCACTCTCTCTCCGAACCATATCGGAGTTTAAGAGATCAGGAGAAACACACTTGGGTTTACCCAAACCGAGGCAATTTCGCACACCTCGCCGTCATCATATCCTACACTTCTGCGGTCAAATCTGGCCCGAAATAAGCTGATGATGATATTCTCCTACTATTGGTTGTCTTCATACCAGTCTTCGGTCTGCTTTGTAACCGACCAGCTCTGATAGTCTTGGATAAACCAAGGCTGTCCATTCTGGGGCGGGTCCTTCTTAGTAGACAAACTATACCCCAGTCTTGCTGCCTGATCGGCGTGCCATGAAGATCAGATGGAAGACAGTGGGAAGTTGAGCCAGTCTTACACCAGCTACTCCGACTAGTGCTCTCTTCTTCATTGGAATAACATTGGAATAAGGTATTAAAGGAAAAGCTTGCCCGGTACAATACATACCTATTCGAAACTCTGTAGCGTGACGTACCTAGGGACGAACCGCGTTGGGACTGGACTTTGCATAGACGCAGTGTCAAACACAGCTGACGGCCAACGTCATGTTGTATCGTCTTCCTGTCATCCTATGTCCTTGCCCTTCCTTTGCCTTCAACTTTGCCAAAGACGCCAAAGACCCCGAATACACCAACGGGTTGCCTGTCAGCCTTCGTATCCGGTTTGTCTTTCCGTTTTTGTGAGGGCTGTCTAGTATGTATGCCCACCCTGTTTTGCCTTGTAGTTCTCCCACGAGGAGCCGAGCGAGATGAGATCCACGAGCTAACTAGAGGTATAGATATTGGCAGTGTTGATGCGTGAACACTCTGAACAACCACAGGTGCCTCGTGGATAGGTACCTAGTTCTTTCAAATGCAACTTCCTAATTCGGGCCTAAAACATCCGAATAATCGTGTTCGATATATCCTCAACTGATATAGCTTGGAAATTCTGGCATTCTATAGCTTCAGAGGACATAAGCGAGCCGTTGGGTCTGCTTTTTGTTTGCTTGTTCTTTGTGCTTGTTCTTTTGCTTTGGTCAAGGCGAAAAAGAAGCGTTGGACGATGGATTCTCCTCGTCATTCTCTAGTAGAAGTGCACTGGAGTTGCAAGGCCTCTTGGCCGGATTTATGTGAGCCGTACATAGGTAGTGTAGTTTGTACAAGAGTTAAAGCGAAGCGATAATATCTCCCTACCTTGCTAACGTTTACCATCCTACTTAGTACCTAGGTACCTAAGGTATTCACGCTACCGTTTCCGTCTCTCTCTCTCTCTCTCTCTCTCTTTCTTTCTTATTCTTCCTCGGTTTTTTTTCGGTTCTTTTTTCTTCTTTCGTTGCTTTTTCCCCAACTTTTAATCCCCTCTACCTCTCCAGACCAGGGGATAGGATTGAATTGCCGAAGAGCTAGTCCTTGACTTACCCAAGCCACCCCGAAAGGCGTAATAGAATGAGCAAGTTAAAGTATTAATATTACTTCTACATGGCAAGGCTTAGAGTTTTTTTTCTTTTTTTTCGGTGCCCCTGGTGATCAAGTGACCCTGTATGTGGTTTCACATGCTACGGAGAGCACCGGATTAGAAAGGGGCAGGGCGTGCAAAGATCCAAACACACCACTCGCATTCGTCGGCTTGACGCTGTAACTTAAAAGAAAGTATGTCACCTTACTATCCTTGAAGGTTTATGAAGCCCCTAAAAGGGATGTTGACTGGAGTTCATCGTCGCTCATTGTGCTTCCAATCGTCAATACCTACAGGTATATATAAGACGTGTACAAATCACAGTAGTATACATGCTTGCCTCAATGCTATATAAATAAATCCCTTGCCTCTACGGAAGCCACCCGACTGGCTTCTTCCCGAGCCTAGGAACCGACCAGACCAGTCTCTTTTTGTATGACGCTCAGCTTTGTTCTCACAGGGACACGGGTTTATAATAGTCTGGGAATACTTGGCTAGACCGTTTCCTCGATAATTATAAGCCATTGAACGTTTGTCAATGCTTTTGTTTGCTTTTCAGACTATTGTCTACTTCAAAACGCGCCGCTCTCTAACCATGTCAATTTCTATTTCCTTCTCGGATCCCTAGCTATGTTCTTGTGTTGTCCGTTCAAATTTTCCACTGTTCCCTCCGTTCGCTTCTCATCGGAACCTTCCATCTTGAGCAGAAGAGATGATGTCATCTAACTCCCCTAATGCTCAATCCTAGGTACCTAAGGTACTCCAGGTACCTTCCATTTTTCTTCCTAACTTCCTTTCCCCCCCAGATTATGCAACAGCTGCACCCAAGTTCCCAACCAGTCACAACCTCTCTCACTCCCTTTTACTTCCTTCTATTCATTTCTGCTTGCCCCCTATCCTCTTCTCCTCCTTCTTGAATTTGCTCACCCCAAGTCTTCCATCTGCTCCCCACCACTCTGCACAAACAAAAAGTGCAGCGGCAGTCTGCTTCTTGATTTTGCTCTTCTTTGCAGCCTCTTCGGCCTCTTTTTCTTCTTTTTCTTCTTTTTCTCTTTTCTCACGTTTCGTGAAGTCAGCATCACGCGCCCGTGGTGTAATCAAAATAGCCGTTACCGTGTCTTGGCCTGTCGTCACCTGCGCCGTTGTTTTTCCTATTGGTGTTGCCCCTGATTTCGACTCCCCCGCTTCGGGTTCAGAGTCAGGTTCAGGCCTACTAGTTTGGGGCTTGGATACTGACGGCGACGGAACCGAAAGGACTCCTTCGGTATCTCCAGCAGGAGTTGTGCACCTGTATCCCACGAAGCTCGCGTCCGTTCCGGTGACGACGAAGTTGGAAATTACTGGATGGGTTACGTTGAGGGGCTGAAGCTGCTGCTTCTGGGCGGTGGCCGCGGCGGCGGAGGAGGGGGAGGGGATAAGGGAAGGAGAGGATATGGTCGTGGTTGCGGTGGCTGGTAAAGAGGAAATCCAGGGGGAAGAGTAGTTGGTAAAGGCACGTGGTGTGCTTGGCCCTTTTGCCGAGGAGTTTGCATCGAACTCGTGGACTTCCTGAACTTCCTGGGCGCTGGGGTTCTGGGTGTTTGGTACCATGATTACTGCTTGAGTATTTGGCTTCGGCTTGCCTGTTCGATTGGCGTTGGTTCTTGGAGGTCTAGATGCAGTCAAATACTGCCTTTGACAACTTCAAGGCAAACTACGTACCTCTTGATAGAGGTAGTGTTGTGTGATCTCGGTCTTGACTCAAAGCTTGTGGTTGACTGATGGCTTGCCGTCGTTTCCCTCGATTTCAGTTGCGGATGGGGAAGAAAAGAAGTAAGAGCTCCAGGGAAAGATCATTATGGCCGGCCTTTTATGGACATTTTGGCTTGTTTTCTTTGCCCCAGGAGAGCATGTCATGGATGCTGGCAATACTCGCTCTTCATCATGTGTTGTTGCCATGATGGTCGAGCATGACTCCGATGACATTCACCACCCGTCCTGCACTTGAACATTTAAATATGAAGGCTTGAATGGCTAAACATGAAGGATCCAGCAGCTGATGCATCATGATTGCGAGATTAGGTAGCGTAGGTGGCTTCCTTATTGACGAGGCATCTCAACAAACGAATTCCCCAGATATTGTTCGCTTGTGAGAGCTACCGCAAGGCATTTTCCTTACAGCATTGAAGATCCCCAGGGCAGGGGCTCTGCCTGGCCTCTATATAGGCGAAGCTCGTCACTTTTGGGGAACCCAATATTTGACATTACGCATCGTCGTTCATACAAGTAGTCGGACACTCACACATGTTTGTTGAGGGGTTTATGGAGGTCACACCGACAGGAGATAAGCTCCGTCATTCGGTCTGGTATGACAGATACGGGCACTAAATGGGCAGTGAAGCTCGACTAGGAACACAGGTGTCATCGTAGTGCACAATGTGTAGTACATTTTTGAAGCTGTGATGCTTAGGGCAAAAAGTGGACATGAAACTGACCATGTCGAGCGGGGTGTGTCACTGAACACAGCTCGGAACTGTTCACTTGAATGACAGGCAGAAGTCTCCGTTATATCCGAAAGACATGTCTTTATACGGCAACGACGATCAACGTAATAACGTGGTTCCTATTATCGATGCGCATGTCCGTCCTCTATCAGAACTGGCTTAGGAGGCATTGATCCCTAGCACCCAAGAAATAGTCCAGTCTCACTGCCGTATATGAGCAATACACGTCTTTATAAGGAACATCTTCACATCGGACGGAAAGTGCTTAGGTAGGTATCAACTGAGTCACTATTCCCCAGGTACCTAGTTCTTTCACTTGGAGCGCCTTCACCTGAACCTTCATTTGAACCAAGACAACAGATGCATGCATACAGGTTGGGGTACTAAGTCGGCTGTCACTAGCACTTCTGGCAGTGGCAAGAATACGGGTAGTTAGGTCAGAACTTTGACCTAGGACTTCTAGTGTTTTGAACAAAATCGGGTTGGGAAAATGAAATAAATGAGGTCGTCAAATTCGCCCTGACAGGAAGACGGAGACGTTAGTGAAGCCTGCCCTAAGAACCTAGATTTGTAACAGAGAGAATGAAATAAAACAAGACGGGTCAAGAAAGTCTCTAAGACAATGAAGATTTAGGGCGTTGTGCTAAAAGACCAAAGAAATGTAGGAACAAGATGGTAATAGAACACAAAAGAGATGATACCTACCAAATGAGTGTCAGACCGGGTCCAGAACTACTGGCCACGTCGGAGATACCGTGCAAACTGAACAGACAAAACATGCTCTTTGAAGAGCGGGAGACATCCCACCTTGAGGTACCTTTAGGCAGTAATATCCGAATAGAAGCGCACCACTCCCTTGATCCTCTCCCCTTCATCCTCGCGCGACAATGTATACCCGCCCGTCTCCTCATCGTCAGGTCTTATATCAGCCAGCCAAGCCATGAGGCCCAACATCGCGTAGCTCTCCGCATTATTGACCACGCAAGTCGGTCCTCCCCAGCAGACATCCATGCACGACTGCCAGGAGCCCACTGTACATGTAGCACTTGCATTTGCATTTGCATCGTAAAGGCCGTAGTATCGACAATGCATCATCTCTTGGAAGATGATTCTCGGCACCGACCATTGCGAGACATCATCATCCACCTTACTTTTGTAGAGGTACTTTAGCAACAGGGGGTCCGACACACTGGCGTTGTCATGGTATCTGGTAGAAGTTTTCTTTGCCCTTCTTGTGCTGTCCGAGAAGGCCTCCCATGTTTCTTGGCCCAGGTCGATCACGACTCTGGCTGGGTTTTGGACGTTGGAGTGACCTTGGATGCCGGTGAGACCAAATAGGTTATGGACTTGTCCGTTTGCGCCCTCGGTAGAAAGTTCGTAGGAAGTGAAGGCGTGGCGGGTGAGGTTGGAGGGGAAGGAGCCGGTGTTGAAGACTGAATTTGTGGGGTCGAGGTAGGTGAGAGCACGAGGGGAGGAGGAGGAGCTGGAGTGGTGTATGGGGATGAAGCGGGTTTCTTCGGGTTACCTATTAGCATCAAAGGTCTTGACGGCTTGAGAACAGGGAGGGGAACTGATCATGGAAGAAAATGGGGGGAAAGGGGTTAGGCTGGTACTTACGAGCGTCGCAGTGAAACCGTACATCTGCTTCCCAATGGTTGGGAGTCTTTCTCCAGTTTGTACCAAAGTCTCTCAATACGCCGACGACATGTTCATAAGCTGTCATTCGGACCGAGGCACTGTGGGGGTTCATCAGTCGGAAGTCGTTTGCCCAGTTGAACCTTTGCCTTTCGGACTTTGGCATTTTGAAGAGAGTCTCGTAGACCCGGGCAAAATCTAAGTCGGAGGAGGATGTGAGCCTATTCACGGCTCGGCGGGCATACTCCATGGCCTCTCGAACGAACCCGTCGAATTGCTGGTCAAATTTGGCGTCACAGGACGGATCTATGTAATATTTCTTCAGCTTTCGGGGACTGATGTAGGTCTGTAAAGTACATCAAGTTAGCGAGTCTATTTGCTTGGTACCTAGAGGTAGGTCATGCCTGGACAGAAAGAGAAAAGGGGAAGGGTATGATGGTACTTACAATTGCCATTTTGTACTTCTACTGGAGTCTTAGGGAAAGTTCTCCCCTCCAGATCAGATACTCTTCCAAAAGTTCAATAAATCTCACGAACTCCTATAATTGCTGATTAGCCAGAAGATTCGGGCAGTTGTAGTTGGTGATGGTGGTATTGGGGGTTAAAAGCACAAAAAACAAGGGCATTCTATGATATTTAACCTCCAAAATAACCTCCATTACCCATTCTCGTGTTTCCTTGAGACAAAGCACTGAGAAATGCAGTGAACAGCTCTTCATTTCTTGAACTCGGTCTCTTAGGGTGCCAGTGAACAGTCATTCCGTGCCCCTTGAGGACGCGAATCTTGGAGTATATGGAATGAAGGGGCAATGAAGAGAGTTGGGTGAATGCAATTGTGCTTAGGGCCAAAGAGAACAAGAGATAAGAAGAAGGATAAAGGTTTGCGGTGCATGAACAGAGTCTCATATGGGTTTTCTTTGTGCCGGGAAGCTTCCGAGGTTCCGAGGATTCGCGGTGAGCTGGAAGGACCTTGGATAGGTTAGTGGGTATTGGATAGTAACATAATGAAAGAAGCATTCGCTAGACTTCAGAACGAGTACTAATTTCTCATAGTACCCCAAGAAATACTTAGGTAGTGTTCTACCTGAGCAACATGCCTGTCATGTAGTCTACACGAAGATAAAGTTAGCTCTGGCCTTCATGTTTCCATTGACGAGACGTACCTACTCATGAGAATCTCATTTGCCTGTTTCCGGCTTCACAAGCTTGCTTTCCCAGTCATTTTCCTTGTTTCCGCTCACGGCTTACAACTCCAAGCTAGGTACCTCTAGGTAACTTGCCCTGCGGCACACACCTTATCGCCCGTGGAAAAGAGGAAATAATCGTAATTGAACAAGAGGAACCTAACAAACAGGACTGAGCAACCGGCCTGGAATCCAATGAAACGCCCAAAAACAGTACCAACGCAACCAACTGTCCGACAAGCATGAGAGATAATCGATAACCATGGCCAAACAGCATAAACACCACCAACACCCGAAATCCACAAAACCCAAGCCATCCCAAACCTTCCTATCGAACAAAGGAACATGTTACCAAACCAGACCAGATCGTGATCCCCAGCCCATGCCAATGAGCCTCCTGCCCATAATACTCGACCAAAGAGGGCATAAAGGGTAAGGTACCCACCCAAAGCGAGGTCCAGCCTCAGCCTTGGCCTCCATCTCAATCCCAGCATCCCTCTCTCCATCCATTCCTCCACTTCACCAACCATGAAAGCCGCACGCCCGCCTCTTGCTCCCGCGGTTTCCATAGCACCAGGACCAAATAAGACCAGCGCTATATCACCACCCCCTTCAACCGTTCCAGTTCCCCCTCCATTCCTCCAACTCATCCATCCTGCAATTTACTAGGTACCTAGGTACCTACTTCTTCCCATACCCACCTCCATAACCCCCACCACTCCCACCGCTAGTAACATGGTGCGAGTTCCACCCTTCGTCATAGCGGCTCTGCTCCTTGTACCGATCCATCGGGGTGTTGCCGTTGGCGGAGCCGTACGTGTCTTTGTAAGCGGAGTAATTGATAGAGTTGCTGCTGGTGCTGTTGGAGGAGGGGGAGGAGGAGTAGGAGTTTGTTGAGTTGTTGACTAAGTAGTTTGGTGGAAGGAAGTTAGTAAAGTGCTTGCTTAAGTGGAAGGCAGGCTGGAGGGAGGTGAATAGGGGGGGGAAGGCCGGATAGGAACGAGTAAGGGGAGAAGAGGATGGGAACGAGGATGGGAAAGGCGAGAGTGGAGGGAAAGGGATAAGATATATGGTTGACATGGTGCGTGAAAGAAGTCTTAAGAAGGGGGGCGGCAGTCGGGCTGTGCTGAAGGTGGTACTTGGAGGTAGACGTACTGTTGCTAGAAGAAGCTTGGCCGGACATTTTGGATTTAGAGCGGTTAGTTGATCGGTGAGTCAAAGCAGTTTATGTGGGACTGCGGTTCACTTCAGTTGAGATGTTGACAATGATCAAACAATGATGAAGAGCTGGGTCCTGATGCCGATGCTATCGAGATGGCAATGGACCTACGGAAGAGCCTTCTTTTTATACTTTCCCCCCCGAGTGTGGTGGTAGATGGAAGCTTGGTGTCCGCGAAGTGGTGTATGCGTGAGATTCTGGATAGGTTGGTTCCAATGTAGATTGACCGGTGTAGATCACCCATCTCCTACTCGCCAGGTCTGTATAGACGAGAGTTGATACGCATTCGTCGAAGCTCACGGGAGTCAAGGTATCCCAGTCTCGGGTGATTTCCGGTCTGAGTATCCCGCTCATGAGCCAGTTCTCTTCCAACTATAGTGCCAGCATGTAAGCCACGCATGGTGTATTACATGCACACTCTCTATCAATGGAGTGCATGTGTGTGCCAGCAGCATCGACCTACGTGCGTAAGGTGACATGTTGTAGTCTCTCACGCCTGTTTAGTTGACACTGGCGGATTTCAACCTGCAACATGCAGGGGGCCGCATGACGAAGAAATCTGGAAATTTCCAGGTGTGGGAGAGGCGCAGCATGCACTTCAAGGCTTGGGCAATCCCAATCCAAGTGGGATATTGTCTAGTTAAAACGTGAGGTCGTTTGAGAGGATAGGACGGTCGAATGGTAGCCTGTGATGACAGCTACATAAGGCCTACATAGGCAGTGTCCCGCCCGTACTACCCGAAGGCAGGCACCAGGAATGTTGAGCCGCAGGATTGAAAGCGTCTGTCGAGCATTTCCCGCCCTAGGTGACATACTAGGGAATTGTCTTCTATTGTTGTCAGCTGTCAGACATCCTGGAAGAAGGGGGGGCTGTCATGCTCGATATGTTTCAGTAATATGGATGCCTTTCCTGGTCATTTTCTCCGAGGCATTGCCATCTTAGTGTTGTTCATGAACCTAAAGCATTTGAACATTACGACGGACTGCCGTCTTCGTAAATATTCCTCCTATCGGCGCCGGTCTCAACTAGAAGAAGCACTTGGTTTTTAGTTGTTGCCTCCGAATCCATAGTGTCCCGACAAGGGTTCCCACAGCGGGCCTTATCCAGCCGGTCCGTGACTGTAAGCCGGAATCCGTATCCGCAACCTGGAGGTTCCGAGTCCCGAAGACGGGGGATCTTGCCCCCAAAACAGCCAGCATATCATAAGCGCCCTGGCTTGATAAATTGTTATCAATGAGTGCTTGCTCGCGGAAAGGTGCAGCTTGTCATGGGTTTTCACATATCCTATAAACAGCAAGTGAGCCCAGTCATCTCACGGCCCGCAAGTACTGTACAAAGTATCAGGGGGAAGACGGTTCTAACGATGGCCATAGCACAACCCGCTACTTCCCAGTATCGTTAGTGGATGACTTGGGTTGCAGGGTAGAAAGTTTTGATTCACAACTGAGTCTCTCGTAAACTGATTAGTATGCGAATTAGGAAATGTGAACATTCCCCAAGGTGACGGCGTGACATACTTGTTGCTTCAACCGCATCGCCGTACCATATGCAACCTCCCGTTGACGACAGGGTTGAAGTCACTCCGGAGCAAGGCTCGCAGGAGATATACAAGGCGAGATGCCAGGTCAGATCCCAGTACTTCCCTCACACGCGGGAACAAGACATCTCGTGTACCAGCGAGCAAAGCTCGTAAGTCATAGGGTTCGAATACGAACCCTAAATCGACATCATCGGGACTAGTCTGATGCGTTTTGATTGCGCTGGTGGATAGAGAATGGTATGGCGTATGGGAACCGGGGTGTGGTGTATATTGAGATGGACCGCGAGAGGCAGCAGGAAAGATCAGCGAGTTCATGGTGTTCCACTTGCTGATGGCTTTCTTGGAGTTGGCTCGGATAACGATCTGTACCGCGGATACCGGCCAGTCTTGCTGCCCTCGGACTTCAAACAGTTCGTGCGACTTTTCTCAAGTCCAGATGGTCGTTAAAGCCTTGGTTGCCAATAGGAAGCCCCGAGGTCGTGTTTCCAACCGCACTTTAAAGATAATCTTCCACGGACAGCCACGTACTCGAGCTGCGACCATAGCAGAGGTCTCGCGGCGAGTGGGGGTTGCATTTTGACCGTCAGTATGTCCCTGTGATGGAAATTGGGAGCCAAAGCCCCCACGAGCGATGCACTTCGGCGGTACTACAGGCAAAGGTCAGTGCCTTACATGGACAGGCAATCTCGCGTCTAAAGGTAGTTGAGGCGCCCGTAGTGTGGTGTAGAACAACGAAGCGAGCCAAGAGTCCAAAGCCAGTCGTTGACGAGCTTAAGCAGCAGAACGCACAAGGTGATGTGCAGGAGAGCTTGACCGCCCATGTCATGTTGATGAGCTGATCATACCCGACTGCGCGACCGAAGGACGAGATAGGTATACCTGCCAGGGGAATGGAAGCGAATGGGGGCATCCGCGGGTTCTACGGCAGCGTGGAGACGCACGAGGGGACTCAATTCCGACACCCGAAGGAAAGGTTCGACCGTCCACGGATGCAGTTTCCGGTCCCAAGTCACGTTAATTTCCAAACTTGCCGTCCTTTTCATCCTGTCACTATCATGTGCCGAACCGCATGTACATATCATGCACTTGCATGCTGTACCTAGAATAGAGAAGGCTGCAACGCACCATGCCCGCCCATGCGTGCAGGGCTGCCTCTTTCTCACCGCCGAATGGAGAGTATCACATCCAAGAACACATCGGATCAGCCTGGATATATTGGACAGCAAAGCATGTAAGCGCGGAAGGAGCCTGGAACATGCCATACGGGCGTAAAATCGGATGGGGAAGGGACGATATTCTTGCTCTCAGAGACGGCTTTGCCACGTGAGAATGGCACAGCAGCAAGCCACTGGTAACACGGAGATGATCCCAAGCTCAAGGCAACCCAACTTTGGCGATATAAGGCAACCGGCCATGTGGTCAACGACCATATGCCTCTTTTGTCTTTTGGCTTTAATGCTCTGTGAGGGTTGGGGGCAATCACAGCTACTGAGCCTTCCGGTTATCATGGTCATCCCGTCGAACTCCATGTTTTCTTTGACTGGGACTTTGACAAAAATGAAGAAAGAAATGTTGAGTTTGAACCCCGGAATGTCGCATTGTCGATCTGTTGTGTCTTTTTCCACTTGATGGGTTTCCTTTGTTAGGTCAATGGTGCGCATCGGCATAAGTTTCATATCAGAACCAGATTATTACCCGAGGAATGATGACATTGGCTGCAGAAGGAAGATCCGGGGAGATCGGATCGCCACATGAGGGGTATCTCAGAGGATGGTGTCGGAGAAGCGGCTCGGTTATGTTTCTGTTTCCTGTTTCATGTGCCATTTTTGTTTCTCAAAGTTCGATACTCCCTTTGAGAATTGGGGGTCGTTTGAAGTTGGGAACTTGAAAAGAGACGGTCTGAACGGCGCGGCAACCGATACGAACAAAAGAAGCTGGTGCTGACTGGACAAAGCAAAGCAACATCGTGGTTGGCGGCAAAGACACTGGAGGGAAATAAAGAGCTCATTGACACTATCATCAATAAACAGGAGGGAGGTATGTCTTCAGCAGCATTCACGCACTTACTCTCAGCTTGAGTGTATTGCGACATCCAGCATGACTTGCCAGAGAAATAAAAAAAAAGTGTGACGTCAAGCCAGACCATCGTTGTCCGAGTTTGTGGTTTGGAGTGAAGAATGGAATGGCGGCTACTCCCCAAAGCGGCATGGCCTCGATTCGCAGTCCAGATGCCAAGGATCAGAGCCAAGGGACCGACCTCCTCCAAAGAGTGCCAAGGGTGATTTGGGCTGGAAAATAAGAAGAGGGAAATGTCGAGAAATTGGACGTGTCACCACTGGAATCGGATTATTAGTTGAGAAATCCTGTTCTGGTTTTCGACGCACTTGCCCTCGGTCTCGTGGAGGGAAGTTAGGTCACACGGTGTTACCGGACGTTGGTGTTGGTGTTGGTGTTGGTGTTGGTGTTGATGTTGATGTTGATGTTGCTGACTGAGTGAGCAGCGAAGAGTGCCACAGAATTGAGGATCATGATTGAGACATTGAATTCGGGAAGATGGAGCAAGAGGGACGGGAACTTGGTTCAGTTGCAAACACTCGAAGCGACGACAGCTGCGAGATTTGGAACAAGTGCGACGTGCCAGCTGGTGGATCCGAGTTTCCACCTAATCCAATCTGTAGGTCATGCTTGCCAAGCCAAGTGTCTCCGTGGCACTGTTCCAGCACTCCGGGGGACACCTTTCTAGGCGCTCATTGTTCCCGTATGCGGATGGGTCTTGACCGTGAGTTTGGCCATGTGATTGGCCAGGAGTCCATCACTCAGCCCGTGTGGCCTGGGTAGCCCAGCACACGCCCAGCGAGAGGGATGACCGGCGTGCTGTCCACCATCACCTCTAGGTAGTCAGCAAAGGATGGAAGAAAGAACCAAAGCTAGCATTGGTTACCAAAACCAGAAGCCGGTGCCAGAGTCCAGATTGGTCCATCTTCTTACACCCTCGTTTGCACTGCGTGATCATCCGCTTTCCCCTCGCTTCGCCTTTCTCGTTTTACACTACTCTTTGTCACTTGCTTTTTCCCTTTCGCTATTCTTCCTTCCTTTTACCGCTGCCATCTCCCCATCAGCAAACGACTCGACGACCACCGACATTCGTTTTCCCCGACGACTCTCCTCGACTCTCGTGCGACGGGCCACGCCATCAATCGTTCAGCTTTGACGACACCCGCACCTTCCGTCCGCTCGCTTGGACTGATCTAATCGGAGAGGAACACTCGGACATTACCAAGGAAATAAACTGAGGCAAGATCCGCGAACTTGTATGCTCAGACAAACCCCCCGGACGGCAAAGGGACCCACGGAATTTCACACACCCAGCCAAATCTGCGATCGTTTCTTCTGCCCTCTCGCCATCGTCATCACCAAAAACAACAACGACAGTAAAAAAACACAATAGCGTCTTGTCAGGGACAGAAACGATTACATCCGTTGCACTGTCGTCCCCTCTGTCTTTTATTTCTTTTCCGATATCCGGGCGCCAGCAGCCATCTGGCATCGGGTGTGACGGTGAGACGAGAGCACGAATAAGCTTTCGACCAAACGACTACGGGTTCAGGGACAGGAATCAATAGGGCCAACATCGGATAGAAAGGAACGTGTCAATTGAACACCAACACACCACCCAAATCCCACATTCATTATTTTGTAATCGCATCGATACGGGCGCATTTTCGAGGGCATCGGGTGGAAGGAATTGAAGGAAGGTCCAGTCGGGCGGACGTAACATTCCATCCGCCGACACACTTTGGGGCGGAGCAAGCCACCAACCCGCAGCAGCGTTGTCGCGGAATCACGACAGCCGACACACCTGAAAGAGAAACTCTTGCGGAAACAATAACAGAACCAACACCAAACCTCAAACGACCTCGTCGATATTTGCACAGACACCACCGAATATCCCCTCCAACCGTACATAATCTTTCAGGATGGCTGGTACGTTAAACGGCGCTTGGTGCTTTTTTTTCTTCTTACGAGTTGGCTTGGCTCTCCACAAGGAGCCCTTCTAAATGTCACCGCATTGTTCCTTTGTTTCCTGCTGTGCCTAACAAGACCACTGTATTCTAGCGCCAGTAACGACAGTTTTCCCAACTCAATCGTTGCCCGCATGCGTAACAGCATGCGGTCCTCTATACGATGTCAACGGAGCCTGCGCAACCGCGACAGCCGCCGCCAATGTTCTCCAGAACTGCTTCTGTGGTGATGCACGATTAGCTCCCTTCAGTACCGGCACGGCCGGCGTGTGCGATGGTGCTTGTGCGGCTACTCCTACAGATTTGGCACGCATTCAGGTACGGGAAATTCACATGTCCTGTGGCCGTCTACACACAGCATGTATGACTGACATGATGTCAAACAGGCATGGTACACAGGCTACTGCAAGGCCACTGCGACTAGTACAGCAGCAACGTCGACAAGTACTGCTGTCGCCAGCAAGGCGAAAGGCGGCGGAGGCACATGGTATGTTCCGTTTTCGTCCTATTCTTTTCCATGTCGACTTTGATCGACGTCCCTGTGACTGCGCACCCGTTTTTCGTCCGCACTCTACCCGCCGACGTCGTAAAGTTGTGCACAGCTGCTCCCACATTACCTTGTAACTAACAATGCACCTCCCAGGGTGGACAACCACTACCAATGGATCATCTTCCTCGTCATCATCGTCGTCGCCATCGTCGGCATTTGGATAGGCGCCTGCTTCTGGCGGCGGTCCTACCTTCGCAAGCGGGACCGTCGGTACGCGCTCGACCAAAACCTCGCCCACACCACCGAGTCCGGCCGCGTGGTTCCCAATGACGGCGTGCATGTTCCCGGAGCGACCATGTTCTCCCCGGCCCCGATCGCTGAGGCCACCGTGTTCGACGAGAAGCCCAAGAAGACGAAGAAGAAGTGGACTGTCAATGAGAGGACATGAGTTGACATAAAGGGCCTTGCTTACGTTCACGTATATGGCTGTTGGAACCCGAACGGTTGCTTGACTTTTCTGTGGACACTTGAGAAGGGAAAAAGTAAAAGAAGAACATGGACAAATACGCCTCCATCGACGCGGACGCCGTCATGATAGATCTGTCTTTCGCTGCCGCCGCCGCCGCCCGCCGCCCCTCCTCACATTCCCCTCCTTCGAACGGGGTCAGGTTTCGCATATTTTGTTTTAGTCACCAACATCATCATCCTTCCTCTCTTTTTGGGTATCACCGGGCGGGTTCCATGTTATTTCCGTCCATCCACCTCTGGACCTGGACATTCTTTCCATCTAGTCGGCGTTGCGGCGTAGTATTCTTTCGATATTTCAGTCTTCTTATACACGGGATGGATGGGGGGCGGAGGGCGGAAGAAGGGGCAGGCCTTTATCAAACTGTATCAGTAGTACCTACTATCATCTCACACACACGCATTGCGGCATGGGCCATGGGATGTGCGATATGGACTGTATACATACTATGGGACTGTAGAGAAAGAGAAAAAGGAAAGAGGAAGAGAAGAGTCATAGCGGAGATGGTAGGAAATGGAGAGAGAGAGGGGGGCAAAAAGGGACGATAAAGGATATCCCCCCCTCCCAAATCCATTGCATTCCATTACCAAGCAACCCTCCGAATCAACTGAATCAACTGAAGCAACCAACCAGCCAGCCAGCCAGTTGAAAACTGACCCTTCGATCCTTGGAATATCTCTTCCTCATTAGCAGATAGACTGGAGGCATTCGGTGTTCAGAACCGGGAAAAAAAAAATTGTAATTTTGTTCGACACTCATGCTGCTGCAACCGTATTCTTCTTATGAGTGCCGAATGTTGAGATAGTAGTAGAGAAGCCCTTTATCGAGTCTAAAGGGGTTCTGTTTGAAAAAGGCAACGAAAAAAAAAAAAAGAGGGGGAAAAAAAAAAAGAAAGAAAACGCAACTCTAATGCACTTTTGGTCTCTCCTACGTATTTGTACTGTTGCAAATCCCTTTCATCGATCCATCCATACATCCATCCATCCATATCCCCTTCGATCTGCTTTTTCTCTTTATCTGTCTCAAAGTGCTGAATGTTAGAGTCAAATGGATACTACCTATAATCGCAACAAATGTCAAATCCCAAAAATGGCAATCTCGTTACGTTCCTTTTGGAGCCCCCAAGAGCCTTGGTGCCTTGGCAGAACTATAATTGCCAATAATGCCCTTGCTGGCGCTCATTACTCGAGGCCCAGACACTCAGTGGGTAGTCGGTACCTATCTATCGATATGATGGAACGCTGAGTGGGCGGTTTTCACGAGTGGGTGTATGGGCATAACTTGTATTCTTCAGGTTATGTTCTATATCTCTGTTGTTCATTCAGAAAGAAAGGTCCAGCCTGCCTGCCTGCCTCATTTGTCTCTGTCTGCCTTGGTGGCAATCTTTTCTCTGTCTAGGTTTTAACCAATGCGTTTGCTTGCAATCGCTCCGCCCATGTTCTATTACAGTTATTGCATCTTTGCTTGTTTCAAGCACCATCGTCTTCACTTCCTAAGTTGTCATCATCACCGTCACGCTCACTCGTCATCGTTGCCGCAGTCATAAGCTTCGTAACCAAGTTTGTAGCCTCTTCAACCACCTTCGACACCTATCTCAAGGGAAGCGAGTGCTTCTCAAGCTTGGCTTGTTCCTCAGCAGCGTCCATGTAGAGGTCGATCAAGCAACCGGCGGACCACGCTTGGGTAGGAGACTGCAGTAGAAACCCAACGGTTAGCATACTATTCGTGTGTTTAGGCGGTTGTGCATCTGGGAAACTCACAGAATCATGACACTCCTCTCCATTCTTGTTCGTCAACTCCGTAAGTCCAGCCCATGGGCTCCGCTGAATCATCTCCTTGCATCCTATAAGTCGCCTGGTGACCTGCTGGAATGCCTCAGTGCGGCCTTCGGCATCGTCACGGCCGCGGCGCATCAAGTCGAACTTGAGCAGCGCCCGGAGGAAGAAACCAGTCGGCCACAGCCACTCAGGACCCTGGTGGTAGTTGCGACCCTTGCTGGTGGCAAAGTCGTCGCTGTCCTCGCTGTTGTTGTAGTACGGTCTGTAGTTCATGTCGCTGGGGTCGAGCGTAGCCATACCAGTGGGACCACGGAGAGCGGCGTCGGCAACCCAGAGAGCATGCATAGCGTGCTCCGGAACGAAGAGATCGGCGGCGCATGTCATGGCAATGGGGAAGTTGCAGCGGAGCTGATAGTCTTCATACTCCTTACCGGAACGGTAGAGATCCTTGTAGATGCCACGACGGTTGATGATCGCCGGGTTGACATCGTACTTGGAGTCCTCGTCGGGGGAGATGGGGACAAAGTAACAACGCTCAAAGTTGTCCTTGATGAGAGCAGCCCAGTCCTTGAGTGTGATTTCGGTACCATCGGCCTTGCGAACACTAGAGTGCTTGAACTTGCCGGCTTCATTGAGAGAAGCTGCCCACTTCAGGTTGCTGTACAACATACCTGTGATCTCAACGGCGGCACCGTCTCTGGGAGTTCCTGGCACACCCTTGGAACCAGCACGCTCGCTCTCGCCCATCTTGTCCATCCAGGTACCGCAGTTGGCTTGGTTACCGCCGAAGATGAAACCGTTGCTCCAGTCAACCTTGATCTCCTGGTTGAAACCGGCATCGCTCATCTGCATATCCAAGTTGGGGCCGGCGTTGGCCTCACGGTACTTCATGCCCTCGGCATGGCGCTGGAAAACTTCCTGGATGATCTCGGCGATGGTGCTTTCCTTGCTGTACGCACGCTCATCGTCGACGTCAAAGTACGTATCATCGTAAGGGAGGAAACGGCGCTTGACCTTGTCGTCTAGGATCGACAAGCCATCAGGAACCAGACGGGTGTAGTCCTGGATGCACTGCAGGAAGAACCAGACAGAATCTCTAGAGTTGTATCTGGGGTTATTGCCGCTTCCTAGAAGATTAGGGATCATGCCATGCTTGAGCACACTGGCAAAGGCGTGGATGTGCTCTCTGGCTTCTGCGTAACGACCAGTACCAAGGTACAAGCCGCGGAGAGAAATGAACACATCGCGACCCCAGCAGCGAGCCCACTCAACAGCGAAGTGAGGAAGACCCGCAGCAAGAGACGGCACGAGCCGGTTAGGATACAGTGATGCTGACTTTACCAGACCAGTCATCTGAACGCTAACCATGGCCAAACTCTGCAGGAACCATTGTCCCTTTATGACATTGTTGTTCATGAGGGAGATACCGCGTTCAAAGGCCGCGTTATAGGCTGTGCGAAGCACAAGACCGAAGTATCTTGGCAGTAAGAAGCTTGGGATGGGCCGAATAGCATCAAAGCGTTCCTTCAACCATTGAGCAGGCTTCGCCAGCCGGCGAAAGTCCTCTTTCTTCGAGGCACGCTCAAGTCTCCCAACAATGTAGTCAAGAGCCCACTGGCCGTCTCGGAGATGCTGGCATAGAGGATGGGCGAGATTGTTGTCCTTGATGACATCCTTCAAAATGCTCCACCAACCCTGCAATCCAGCGTACACAATCTTGCCGTGGCCAGGGATGTCGTAGGTTCCATCCTGGCCTTCGCTAGCATCACGCTCCTCAGGCTCGCACTTGTACAGAAGGAAGTTGAGATCGACAAGATCAAGCTCATCCATCGCTGCCTTTGCACCAGAGGTGACAAAGTTGTCCAAACCACTCGAGTGCTCTGCCGCCGGGATCCAAGTCTCAAAGAGAGCAATACTTCCAGGAGGGAACTTTTCACGGACGGTGATAATGGTATCCTGGCCCTTGACTTCCATCCGCACGCCTGGCAAACCTACTAGACGGCTGGGAAGACCACGAAGGTGCTTCTTGTCGCTCAGGACCTCCTCAACAGCTTCCTTGCTGGCGTCAACCTCCAGCATCCAGCTACCGAGATGGCGAGCCTTTGTACCGGTCAGGTGGACAGGGTTGAAAGCGCCATTGCCATTTCCATAACCGGGGAACGCAGTGTGTGCGATGAGGAAGTAGCCCTTTCTTGACTCCTGATGAACTCTGTGGACCGTGACGTACTCGTCCTCATGGTGAATATGCGTCTCATCATAGCCATCCATACCCATCAAGGTGTGGATCTGGTTGAGAAGCTTCTTCACACCAGCAATTCCATCCTTGCCCTCTCCCGTCTTAACAGGAGCTTTGGAAGCCTCGGACGTGTAAAGGCGGGTTTCGCCAACCAAGTCAACAAGCTTAGGATAGATCTCGTCGTATCCCATTACGCTGCCGGTAGCGCTAGCGCACATGGCAACTAAGGCTGCGTTTGGAAGCGTGTCACGCGCATCACGCTTCTGAGCAGGAACCTCATTGTCATGAGTGCAGTCCATGAATAGGGCTTGCACAGGAACCGGCCTGATACGGCGGATAACCTCGCGTGTGTAGACGCCATCCCCGTTCGTGCCGCTGATGGACGACGAGCGGCCCTCGTTGCTTGATACCTCGTCAACTTCGAAGCTGCCAATAGGTCGGCCTCCGTGACGATGAACCAGACGACTGAGCTCGCCAGTGCTCCATGCTTGCATGGCCTCACGAATGAGTGCGCTAATACCCAGACGCTTGACAAAGACGTAATCCATCTCTTCAGAGCCGGTGAAAAGCTCCGCAACGACATAGAGATCGGGGCGAACACGACGAGCCTCATCCAAAATGTGCTCAGCGACATGAAGAGGCGTGGAATGGCAGTTGTCGATACGGAAGCCGGCAAAGTATTTGGCCAGCATGCGGGCGTACTTGGTCATGTGCTCCCAAAGCCATGGGCTGTCTTCAGGACCGCTTCCGTAGCGGAGCTTCGTGCAGTCTCCCCAGACAATGACTTCTCGGCGAAGGTAGACACGAGAATCGGGACCGGCATTGTCGACCAGCGCGTTTCCGCCCCATACCCATCCGTTGTTTGCGAGAACCAGGTCTTCCTTCTTGTGCTTCTTCGTCTTCTCGTTGACGGGAAGACGAGTGAAGTACGTCTCGATCAGAGGATTCTCGGCGTTGATGGGCCCGAGCTTTGGACCGTGGTCATCGAGCCGGACATACTTGATGCGATTGAACAGCTGCTGCAGGATCTCAGCAACTTCGTCATCATATTCCTTGTAGAATGGAACGTTGACAATCTCCAGAATCTCGACAATCTTGGTTCTGGCCGCTGCCTGATCGGCAGTATTCTTTGTCTCTCCTTCGTACCGGCCGAAGATAGCAGACAAAAGAGCGGCAGCCACCTTGGGGCTAGCCCTCCGCCTGA